CCCCCCCCCGGATAAGTTTTTTCCTCTGCTTCGTCGGGTTCCTGGAAAGAGGCATAGAGTGTAGTGGGTGTGGCCTACTACTGTATATGCACATTGCACATATATCAATGCAAGAAGAGAGAGCCGAGATGCAGCCACCATTTCCTTTTCCTCCCCTTCCCCTTCTTCTCCCCTTGAATAAATGATCTGAAGGAAAGAGTGAGAAGGGGCCGGGTGGGGGGAGCTTTCTGTTGGTTCGCCCACCTAACCTCCATGCAGGACACATGAGAGAGAGAGAGAGAGAGGCGGCTGTAGGCTTGGCGAACACTCTCGGAGACAGAACGTTGTGTGGCAACCGTATCCGGACAGCGGGCGGGGAGGTACCGACTAGTAAGAAGACGAAGAAGAAGAAGAAGAAGAGGATGGACGTCACCTCTTGGGTTCACACACACACACACACACACACACACACACTTGGGCTCTCTTTTCTTTTCTTTTTCTTTTTTTTTTTCTTTTTCTTTTTTTGTAATAAGCCACCCTCGAGTGTACCGCTGCCAGGGTCTGCAGATCTCTAGGAGAATGGACCCTATCACGATGAACTCGATGCTTCTCCGCAGAATATTGCTGTTGAAATGCTACCGGCACACACCAGCAACCGCCACAAAACATAGAGAGTAACAAGGGGTGAGGGGGAGGAGGAGGAGGAGGAGGAGGGGGGGGGGTTGAAGAAGAAGAAAGTAAGAAGTTCCCATCATGGCAGTGTTGCATCGCGTAATTGCCTGACCATGATGGCGCGCTCGCTAATAAATGGCGTATATCAGAAACAGAACGTAGATCTGTAGAAGTGGAAAAAAAAAAAAGTCGCACATGATGCCATGGTCAAATGGCTTAGAGACGAGAGGTCGGAGAAATAGTAGCGTACTATTACGACATTTTCGACTATTGCTATTATTGTTATTATCATCATCTTCACCTTACAGCGATGACGACGACAACGACTCCGACAAGATCAATCACAAGCGTCCCGCAGTTACAGACCAAGTTTCCAGCGTAGAAACGTCTGTGTTACCAGTCGACAGACACCCAATTGCAAGAGTAGGCTAGACCTCAGTTCAAAATAACGGGATGTAGCGGCGGCAGCAGACGAGATATATCATACAGCAGACAGCCGAGCGGAACAAATAAGCGACAGCTCTGAGAAACCTGCCCGGACCTGCCGTGTTCGTACGTAACTCGTACGAGGTGGTAGAAAGTCGTACGTGCATGAGCAGCGCGCGCTTCTGGTATCAAACCTGCTGACGGTACGAGGGCAGGCAGGTACTTGCAAGTACTATACTGTCATGATTACTAGTATATTGAATGTGAATATGAACCTGAATTTCAAGGCATCAAATTTCTTTTCTTTTCTTTCTCCTCCCCCCCCCCCTTCCTTCCCTCTTCTCCCCTCTGCAGGTGGGGAAACCGATCGGCGTGAGAGGGAGAGGTCACGATTTTGTGTTGGTTGATTACGACACAACCTGGAACAGGTGTCAAAGCCTCAAAGAGGTATCAGTACTCTCTCGTACGAGTATGTAGAGGTATAATGTAAACACGTATGCAGTGGTAGATTGAACATGTACGGAGTAGCAGTAACTCCGTAGAGTTGATGATACGAGTACGGGACACACACAGCCTGCCCCGATGTCAAAAAGTCACTCACTGATCATACCATATCTCGATAGCATGATGATAGTCGAGGGGCCGAGGGCCGGCGCGTGCGTCCCTTTATCTTATTCTGTTTTCGAATCCCTTCTCTTCCTTCCTCCCCTCTGGGCCGTGAGCAGTGGGGTCGGTCACCTCATGCATTCCAATGGTTGTTTGATTCCGGTTTCAAATGGTGGGAAGAGTCGTCACGTTAGCTCTGTGTGTCGTGCTCTGCGCACAGCATCATTCACACGAGGGGGAGACAGAGAGAGAGAGAGAGTATTGTGTGAAGTTCAGGATTGAAAGGGGGGGGGGGTACGGAAGTTTTTTCTTTTCTTTTTCCCCCTTTTCTGACGACATTACGACATAATTTTTTAAGAACAAAAAAAAAAGAAGATACCGAGCACAAAAAATTGATGCACCATGTTGCTGGCTCTGTTTCTACGAATGGGATTGTATTGATGCATTGAACGTACATTTGCATATTGGGCATGGTGACAGGCACAGAGAAGCGAAACAGGCAAGCACAAGTATACACACATAAAGGCAACAAGTAATAACGAATGACAATACCTTCGATTTGACGGTAAAAGAGAGAGCCCACATGCGTAAGGACTCGAAGAGAGAGAGCTGATCGGGAAGACGGTAAATCGGAGGAGCAAAACAGTCCGTAAGAATCCGTACCCTCTCCTACCAAGGCCAAACCGTCTCCCCGTAAGGCTCCGGAAAATGGTGCTACTGCTATGACTGTTCGTACTCGTACGCACTTCTCCACAAAGTCTAGTTAGTCATCGGTTGCGAAATCGCACCATCGAAAGACGTTTTTTTTCTTCTTCCTCTCTCTGCTCTGCTCTGCTCACGGGATCGGTCTCGATGGCTCACGGGGGGTGTGGGTTTCCCTTGACCATCCAGGTAACTAGTTGTATGAGCTATGTATCCGATGGCCTTTTTTTTTTTTTTTTTTTTTGTTTTTTTTTTGGCTGTTATTCTGTTATTTTGAGTCACAGCTCGTCATTCATCTCTAGGCACGCAATGAAATTTTAATCTGGTGTGTCTTCCTCTGTATATTTGCTCTTTACGAATCACGTATCTCTCTGCATGTATCACCTCCAAGTAATAATCATACTAGGGGCTCAGTAATAAAATTTATGAATTGTGCTTTCCCTGCGTGCACACCAATGTACAAATCTACGACACCACGCTGTTGAAAAAGGTGTGCGTGCAGGTGAAAAGGTTATTACACACCCCCCCTTAAGGTGGCATCATCATTGCTTTGTGGGTGGGTTACTACCACACCCCTCCTCCTCGTCCTCGTCGTCCTCCTCCTTCTTCATTTCTATACACCCTTTCTTAGATAAAAAAAGGCATAACTTATAAGAGAATGGGAGGGGGGGTAAAAAAGAGAGAGAGAAGTGAAAAAAAAAAAAATGAAAAAAAAAATCAGCCCCTCCTCCGCTGCAGGGGATTGTATATGTGGATCCCCTCTGGAGCTGAGCCCCACTATGACCCATCCTTGCCGCTCCCTCTTTCTCTCTCTCTCTCTCTCTCTCTCACTCTCTCTCACCCACCACTACGCATCCACACCCCGGTGACCCAGATTATGACTGGCAGACACACAATGGCACCCTGAGGGAGAGAGAGGGAGAAGGTACGTACCGTAAGAAAGAAAGAGAGAGAGAGAGAAAAAACTGTCGTAGTGGTGCATGGTGCAACTGACCTGGTCAATCCCACCACCATTCTCCATACCTCCCTCTCCACCACCGGCGGCCTGCCTGCAACTTGCCTTGTTATACATATTGCCTCGACCTCCCACTTCAATTCTTTCCCTCTTTTTCTTTTTCTTTTTCTACTTCCTATTCTTTCTCATTCTCTGCTGTCTATACCATATTCATTCTTCTTCCTCCCCTTCTCTCTTCTCCTCTACAAACCTTGCTTCCCCATCTGCTCCAGATACACTGTCTACTTCCAGTCTACTGCTACATATAACAACTACCACCACTTGGACAAGAACATCTTGGGGCTAGAGGCAACACCCAACTCTCACAAGCACTTCATCAAACCTCGACATCGCACACCACCACCACTACAACAACAACAGACACAATGGCTCTTGACCTCTGGTCTCACCAGTTCTGCCTCGCCTGCGACAAGCAGGTCGAGTCAGACTCGGCCGCCTACTGCTCCGAGGCTTGCCGCCTCGCCGAGCTCGAGAGGACATCGTCTCCCTCATCGGCAGCCAGCTCCCCCGTCAGCTCCCCCGGTCTGACCTCTCCAGACCCCTGGACAGCCTACTTGGCCTCGTCTGTATCCAGCACCAGCAACAGCAACACCAACAACTACTTCTTCCTCTCCCCCGCCTTCGACTTCTCCTCCACCACCACCACTTACGCTCAACAACCACGAACCACCTACGGCAGCGGCAACAGCAGCAACAGCAACAACCCGACATCGACACACAAGCAGCAGCTCATATCTTCGAGTTCAAACAGCAGCCTGTCCAGTATGGGAAGCACATCGACGACCGGCGACTCCAACCAGCTTTCCAGTCAGGCTAGGCAAGAGCTCCAGGCCTACGCCGTGTCTTTCGACCACGTCCGTACCCAGAGGAGGCGTTCCTACTAAAGTCTCTGGGGCCTGCGACATCATATGCGACCCGACCACTTCAGTAACACCTCTCTTTCTTATTTTATATTCTTACGAGCCGACTACGAAACACACACACACATACACATCAACATTTCCTTGAGTCACAAAATTGTTGTACCAAAAAGAAAGAAAAAAAAGGATTACACACACACTTCAAAAAGAAACTTGTTTTATAATATCAGCCAAAAAAAAGGGGGACCATCGATCTTCCCATCAAAGCTAGTGGAAAGAATATTCGGACTGGCGCAACATCTGGAGAAGGAACGAAAAAAAGGGTGGTGGGAATGGCGGCGCTAACGGAATTTGATTTTTATACACTCTTCTTACACAACTTGTCTTAACTCTTTTTTTTTTTTTTTTTTTTTTTTTTASGGKGGRGRGSGGGGRGGAAWMAAAAAARAAAGGAAGGGAAAAAAAATATGTTATTTGTATTTGAGGGTGCAAGGACGAACAAGAGATTGTTGGGCATAAAGCAAGCATATCGAGCATCTTGGGATAAATGGAGGAGGAGACGAAAAAAAAAGAACCAAAGACTGCTTTCTTTTTTAGCATACCATTCTTAAGATACCAACCTTTGGCCAATAGCCATGAGAATTAAACCTTTTTTCTACTGGGATTTTTCCAGCTTGAACAAGATTACTTTTTTCTACCTGGGTGAATTCAAGCTCATGATTTTTTTCTTCTTGCATACATATACCTACCTACCTGCGGCGTTTCGCCTCCAACGGTCTTGGCAATCAAGCACAATAGGTAGCGACATCCGATATCGCCACCGTGGAGATAAGGGGCTTGCGCGGTCGAGAATCTGGACTGCGCCCTTGTGTGTGGCACTTTTTTTTAAATTCTTAATCTTCACTTTTGGGAGGGAAAGAAGAAATATTTGACTGTGTATAGTGGTAGAGCTACGCTGGTAGTACCAATGGTCCATTCCTGAGTCCTCCGTCGTACAAGAGGAGAGAGAGCTGTAAGACAATTGAACAATCCCAGCCTAGTGGCACCGCACATCTCTTACTACAAGAGGACCGTTTTATGCTTTTATGTGTCACCTGTTTTTCTTGATGGGGGGAGGTTTTTTTTTTTTTTTTTTGTGTTTGTTTGTTTTGGATATTCTTGTTGTTTTTCTCATCAAGGTGTTCTGATACATGGTAGTACAGTAACCCCCCCCTCCAAAAAAAAAGCAATGGAGAATGGGAAGTAGCAGAAAGAATGGGGTAAAAAAAGAACTTTCACATTGTTGAATTGCTTATTAGGTTCTGTTGAATTGCACGTCAGATTCGGAATTTTTTTAGGCATCATGTCACAAAAAAAAAAAGTACTGATATATATGCTCATGTGCTACAGTTGGCTTTTGTTTTTGGCTTTAGGCATGGATATTCCCGCGGTTGTCAACGATCGGGGTGAGGAAAACCCGGGAGGGAATATGATGATTCAAGGTTTACTTGGCGGGACGGTTTATGAACCTTTTTATTTATTTTATTTTCTTAATCAGTGCGTGTGTGTAGTAAGCAAGTGCGTGTAGAGGTTGCGTGTAGTCATAGGCGGAGGAGAAGGAGAGTTGTCGGCCAGTATCATACTTGGTAGTTGATGGAGATGTAGAGAATACGATTATCACCTTGGCCTGTAAGGCTGCAGAACACCAGGCAGAGAAGAGCACGGGAGGAGGAATTCTCAGCTCTGGACTCGAAGGCTGATTATTGATACTTGATATCACTACTCCGTACCCTGCTCTACAATGAACTCGAATCACCCGACGGATAAGGGACATGGCAATCAACACTCGCAGAACAGGCATATGGCGGTAACTACCTAGCTATATGTTATTATGTACAGTACGATGAATTACTCTCGACGAATACGGGATATATGACAATGTCAATGTACAGAGTTTCTCGATATCATGATCAGGTACCTTGTGGGGAATAGACATCATGTGGACGTGGAAGTCTGGAGAAAGGGAATGGAGAAAGGGAAAGAAAGAAGAGAAAGTGAATATGAAAGAAGAAAGAGAAAGAGAAAGTAAAGAATAAGGAAGAAGGAAGAAGAAGAGAAGAAAAGAAGAAATTGATATTTGCTGAAACACGTCATTTGTATTTGCAGACACCTTCAGACATTCATTACCATCATGGTACAGAAATGTCCATGAATTGAATCTCCGATGAACAAGAGCTCCGACATCGCTGGTGACACATACACACACACATCAGAGGACTCATCGGATGGGGTACAGGTATATGACCAGAGGATTAGTAGGATTAAAACCCAAATTGGCGTCATCTTTTTTTTTTTTTTTGGCGACAATCGCATCGCCGATTCAGCTCACCTCAGTATTACCTCACATATGTATTGTTTTGCTGGTGCTAAAGACTTACCAACGGTGCTGGACTGTTGTGTTAGCCTCTCAGTGTACCAGGCAGGTGCCGTGGGTACAGACCACACATCCATCTTTCACGTGAAATCTCTTTACTGCCTGTCAACCTTTTGAGTCGTCCTCGACCTTTGAAGTTCTCCTCTGACAGCATCGGTAGTTTTTTTTTTTTTTTTTTTTTTTTTTTGTTCAGCCCTTCTCCACCAATTCATTACGCGCACTCCATAATAATACCTACCCAAACTGTGCTGACAACCGGCACTACGGGCCCGGGGTCACTCCGTGTAGCTCTGAATACTATTCATCACCTAACAACGCACCAAAAGTGGTCCACGGGTAGGTGATCCGGTACAAGGCATTGGCTGTGGTGGAGAGGGAGGGAGCTGTCCTTTTTCTTTTTTTCTTTTTTCTTCCTCCCTTTTTCTTATGCTTTCGCCTTATATGATTTTTTTTTTAATGGGGAATTTGACTGTCCACATAATACAAGCCCACACACCCCACCGGAGCCCCCCCTCTGTCCTGCCTTACCTGGTGATATGTACAGAGTACCTATAGTAGTACCTTGATAGCTCTCTGTGGGGGGGGGGGAGCTGAGATGATTAGGGACGGGACACATATCCGTGACATCCCCCCCTGGTATTTCATGTATTACTCTGTACATTAGTATTACTTCAATCTGTCTGAACTCGTAGAGTGGGAAGAGGGAGAAGAAGAAGAAGAAGAGACGTGTATGGAGCATTCCTCTATACTTGGTAGATGAAAAAAAAAAAAAAAAAAAAAAGTTCCATCTTCTCTTTTGTCGAGACTGACTGTGAGTCTAAAGTGATTGATGGACCTCCCTCTTAAACATGATAGGGTACAAGTAAGTAGGCTCTCAGCCTTTCTCTTGTTGTGCATGCATGGATAGCATTGGCATTGGGATGTATCTATTGGCAACGGTACATACATTTTAGATGAACAGGGAGTGATGTTCGGGTTCAATTGATTGATTGCCCTGGACTCCTTGACTGTCCCTCCGTCCCTTGACCGTGAATCCATGCCGTGACCTGACCCCCTTTGATAGAATGTTCTCGTCTCGTCCAGTGAGTGTACAGTATGCGATACGCTCCGGTCCTTGTCGGTCATGGTCGCCAACCACCGGGTATGGGTACCATCATATACTGCGTGCGCGTGTTGTACTCATATTAATCTGCAGATTACCATGTACGAGTCCATCATAACCACTGCGAGTACGAGCACAGACAGGACCCTACGAGTATCGATTCCATGGAACGGGCCAGGTAGGGCCTCCAGGCTTGAGCCTCGTCCCTTGATGGCCGTCATCACTACCAGCTTTCTTCCTCCGTCCTCATCTTACGAGTACTCGTACTTGTGATGCTGTAGACAAAGAGAAGGGGGGGGGGGGGGGAGGATTAAATTTTTCATTATTAATTATATATATATATATATATGTATTCTCATCAGATATTTTGTCTTCAGACTAACATCACATGTATGACATGTACTGTTACCACCGTCACTACCACTAGTGAGCTCTGCTACGGCACCCTCCCCACCCAACCTTGCACACCCAATCATCCGCGGCCACAGCCTTTGTCTCTGCTTCACTGTCAAGGTCCAACTTGCCGTCTCTTGGTGCTTTTATATAGTATATTGATTGTGTTGCTGCGCAATGTACTCGTACAGTCCGTATTACGTTTATATTCATCCTTCATCCATACTCTGCTATCACTACAAGGTACACCATGTCTCGCACTGACAGACATACATACCCCTTGTTCCACATACCCCTCCCTCGTTCCTCACGGAATAAGATGGAAAGAAAGAATCCATCACCTCAATCAACTCGGTGAAGCAAGACAATGTCTCACTCCAAGAAAAAAAGAAAAGAAAGAGAAACGTATGGAATATGGGTGGAAAGAAAAACGTGGTCGGCCTCAAAAAAAACCCTTACAGTCGGTCAAGTCGGTGTGTGTGTGGGTGTGTATGTCCATGCTACAGCTACATAGCTTGTATCTCCACACTAATCCGTACTGCGCATCTGACTCTACTGGTAACCCCTCTGTACAAGACGCACGTGTGATGCGTATGTAGGTTGGGTCTCGTAGTTGAGATATCTGATAGTTGCTGTTCAGGGGAGAAGAGACGGAAGCCATCTACGAGCAATGATGATGCATATTCAAGTCAAAAAGTCACGTAGGAAATTGGGTTGGGTTGGGTTGGGTTAGGTTTGGTTGGGTTGGGGGGGTCATTTTGATGCCCCCAGATCGTCAGACGGCTCGGCCGGGATAACGTCGGATAAAGAGGTGTCTGGATGGAATGGTCGTACCGGGATTATTCCGAGTATCGATTGCTCCATGATGAAAGTGATGGAAAACAGTAGAAACAGCGCTATTTCGGCGACTTGGTTATTATCAACATCATCATCAATAACCAGGGAAATGGTGAGTAGGAAGGTGTTTTTTTTTTTTGGGGGGGGGGGGGGGGGGGGGGAGGAGGGCGGGGGGGGGGTTGACTCGTCCGGAAGACGCTCTGCCCGCTGTCCCGCCACCCCTGTTTGGCTCCAACATGAATGGAAGTCACGTGGTCACCAGAAATGATGCATCTCCTGGAAAAGCACAATACTCTACGAGTATGAGAGTAACATCCATGTACTCCGCAAAACACACCCAAGAAAGTCGGGAAAAAAAAGAAGAAAAAAAGAAGAGCAGAGACGGACATTTCCACCGACACGTCACTTCTTCGCTTGTACGGAGTACGGAATACATATCTCTCCCCTCTCCATCCCAATTCTTTCCTTTTTCCTTTTCCCCTTCTCTTTCGGCCCTGTCAACCTGTTCACCCCTCCCCCGGTCCGCCAATATTTGCCTAGCTATCAATAATAATAATGCTGGCGCATACCCAAATCATACAAGATGACTAGCTACATGCAATCTGTACTCCGTACATGCATCAAGACGGAGATTTCTTTCTTGTTTCAACCTTTTCGTTTCTTCCGTCTCCTCCAAATTCTTTACTCGCACATCCCATCGAAATCTCTATGCACAGATTGGCTTCGACCGCCCCGGGGAGGGGCGGGGGGAGAAGAGAAACTGGGCCATAGCATCCGTTGGTATAAGAGAAAAAGATGAATTCTGTTTCAATCATATACACGCCCCTTCCCTGCCCCTTGAGCTTCTCTCCACATTCTCCACCTTGTTGTACACGTAGCTGACTATGCTCTTCTTTTTTTTCTTTTTTTTCTTTTCTTCCCCTCTTTTTTCTGGATATATTGACACGGGTAACTCGTCTAGAAGTCGTTGATACGGAGTAATAGTACGAGTATTAGCATGGAACATGGCACTCCCGTGCCCAATCCGTACCTCTCCGACTCCGTATGCAGATACTCGTAACGGCAGAATGCACTGACCTCCCCCCCCCCATGTGGACACCGTGCCCGTCCTTCGGTGAAGATGGGAGAGTATCCGGGTCTTGATGCGCATTACTATATTTATAAAAAAAAAAAAGACATTAGAAGAAAATTCAGGAGAAAAATGAAAAAAAAAAAAGAATATAACAAGTATGGGGCCATGCCAACTGCATCAACTCAGCACTCCTAAGCCTACGAGTACATGCGAGTATCATTATACAACACATTTAGAGCACGGACAAAGCACCGACGCTCACACCAAGTCTCCGGATCTGACACCCAAGTCACCGACATCAAGGCACCGACAACTTCTGAGACGTTGGCATACCAGGGTATCTTGCATAATCGCCGTCGAGGGGGGGGGGGGGACATGTTTCGCAAGTTAAAAAAAATTAAAAAATTAAAACAAAGTTCCCCTCCTTCTCTCATCTTCCTGAATCCTAATTTATTCTGTGTCATGGCCCCTGCTAAATCATTTGGCTCATGGTCATGATTTGCATACTTGTACATGGGGGATCATCACATTGTTGTCTTGTGCCTTGTGTGTGCATTTGGTGCTTGATTCCATGGAAAGGAAGGAAATCTTCAATTGGCTATCTACAAGATGTGAGTGTGGCAGCAGCCTCTGACTGCTTAGTCATATATTCTCGGGTGCCACAATGTAATGATACGGAATACGGAGTACAGGGTATATCATCTGGGAGTACCTGTATAGGAAGGTGTTGTTTTTGTATCTGCTCGGTAACAACAAGACTTGGGACATTGCAGAGTCATACCGGTCGTGGTTGCTAATCTTGAGAGCAATTGAAGAATCTACGACGCGGAACTTGCAAGGTGCGGATTGGAAGCAATGGCCACTACAGATTGCATTGTCGTGGCACAGTCCATCAGCGAGTATTGCCTCGGGGGGTCGAGAGATAGGTAGACATGGCGTCCATCTCGGTTATTGGTGGTTGTGGGAAATACTACCATGCAGATCGCCTTGTCGTACCTACCTGTTCAGACCACGCCAATTCCGCGCAGGTAGAGAGAAACATTTTTTTCTTCTTCAATAAAACAATAGATATTGTCACATATTCTATCATACCTTCATTTTCTTTCCCCATCTTCTCCTCCATCTCTTCCTCATTACTCCTCTCTATATGCTGATGAAATACATCCCCAACCCTCTTCTACGTAAGAGTGACCAGCTCCTCAGCAGCACTAGGGTGGATAGCCACACAGTTGTCAAAGTCGGCCTTGGTGGCACCCATCTTGACGGCGACGCCGAAGCCTTGCAGGATCTCGGCACTGCTCCTACCCACAATGTGCAGGCCGACGACCTTCTCCTCGGGACCGACGACGATGAGCTTGTATTTTGTCTGGACCTTGTCGTCGGGCTCCATCATGGCGTAGTACATGTCGACGAAGCCGGTCTGGTAGATCCTGACGGCGTCCTTGCCGTACTTCTCGACCGCCTGGGGCTCGGTGAGGCCGATGCTGCCGACCTCGGGGTGCGAGAAGACGACGGACGGGATGTTGGTGTAGTCGAGCTTGGCGTTGGCGAACTCGGGCGGGCCGAACAGGCGGTGGGCGAGGCGGCGGCCGGCGGCGATGGCCACGGGCGTGAGCTTCACCTCGCCCGACACGTCGCCCAGGGCGTAGATGCCGTCGACGCTCGTGTTTTGGTACTCGTCGACGATGACGTAGCCCCTGTCCGACAGCTTGACGCCCACCTCCTCCAGCCCGATGCCCCTGGTCTCCGGGGTGCGGCCGATGGCCCAGATGAGGTGGTCGACGCCCGACACGACCGACTCGACGCCGTCGTCGTCGCGGTACGTCACTGTCAGCTTGCCGTCGGCGCCCTTGTCGAGCCTGGTCGCCTGGCTCTTCTTGTGCACCTTGACGCCCTGCTTCTCGTACTCGTTGGTGACCGTCTCCTGGATCATCGGGTCGAAGCTACGCAGAAACGTCTCGCCCCGGATGAACAGGTGCGTCTCCGTCCCCAGCGCGTTGAACATGCCCGCCAGCTCGACCGCAATGTACCCCGCCCCCACCACCGCCACCTTGCCCGGCTGCGTGGCGATGTCGAAGAAGCCGTCGCTGTTGATGCCGTGCTCCGCTCCGGGTATCTGCGGCGGCGGGTTGGGCTTGCCGCCTACCGCGATGAGGATCTTCTTGGCGTTGACGAGAACTTTGCTCCCGTCGTCCTTGGTCACCTCCACCTGATTCTTGGACACCAGCTTACCCCACCCGTGCAGGTACTCGACCTTGTCCCTGGCCAGGTTGCGCTCGTAGATGCCATTGAGCCGCGCAATGTAGGCGTCGCGCTTCTCCTTGAAGGTCGGCCAGCTAAAGGGGGCTGTGTGCTCGACCGAGAAGCCGTACGACTTGGATTCGTGGATGGTGTCGGCAATGGATGCCGCGTTGTGTGTCACCTTTTTGGGGACGCATCTGCATGTCAGAGAGTGTTAGCTCTGAGAACGAATGGGAGCGACCGAGGAACCAAGTCAGAGAGAGAGAGATGAGGGAGAGGGAGAGGGAGAGAAGGGAGAGGGGGCGGGTGTAGAGGGAAAGGACTAAAGATCGTACCCAACATTGACACAGGTTCCTCCGAGACGCTTATTCTCGACAATCAGAGTCTTGGCACCAAACTTGAAGCTGGCCATACGGGCGGAGCCTAGGCCACCGCTGCCGCCTCCAAGGACGAGGTAATCGGTCTCTTGTGTGATGGGCGCCATGGTCCTGGCCGTCGTGGAGAGGTGTCGAGACAACAAGGCGATTCGGAGGGGAGCAGCGGTAGTAATTCGACCAGCAGCAGTAGCGGTTTGTAGGATGCGAGCGAAGTGATTCATGTGGGAGGGGAAGAGGGGGAGGGGGTAGAGGGGGCAAAAAGATAAAAGGAGGGGAAGAGGGATTATTTTTTTCAAATATTCTCTGATACAAGAGGGAACTATTAGACAGCGTTTGAATCTAGTATGATGTGATTGGAACTGGTCAGTATTCCAGATTTCAAATCGTTCGGCGGCTGCAGAAACGGAGTACGGGAGTATGACTAGAGGGGGAAAAAAAAACCCCCAAAAAAAACCAAAAAAACTAGAGGGAAGGTGCTCCACTACCCATCTATCACACTATACTCTTATTCTAAATGTGACAAAATGATGCAGGCCCGGGGTTCCGGGTGTCAAGATGCACTTATTGTTGCCAAAGATGAGAGATGATACCATCATGTCTAGAACTATTATGAATCGGCGACTGACCTTTCTTCTAGATTATCAGAGCTTCTCTGTACCGACCAGCCCTCTTTTTGTTCTTTTCGTCGTCGACCCTTTGGCCTTTTCAAGACAAGAGATGGCGACGTCAGGATCCCCATATCACCCCATTACATAATCACATCGGGTGAACCGCGGAGCATATACCAGCACAGAGCCTCCATTCATGATGAGGCTAGATATATGTACAGGTATGACGGCGGTTCGGGGGGATTGAGAGATGCACTGATGATAAGGACTCTTATATTTTCGTGCGGGTAAAAGACATTCATCGCATCATGTTTTATATAATATGCTATATGCATGTATGCAGTACCTTTATACCAATTAATACTGTAAATGTAATACCGTGACGTGACGTGCTTGCCTACGACGTAACCGCAGTGCAATTCGACGAATCACGGGACAAGCAGCAGCATCCACACACCTATGAGCCATCAGCCAGTACGAGTAGCAGCAGCTAAGGCAGACAGTTTCCAGAGTAGAGAGACGTACGCACGTACCTATAGCCTATATTATTAGTCCATCAGCACTGAACAGCGACAGCACCAGTAGCAGAGTGTGCCCATGCTCGTACTCCTACCACTGCACCAGCCAAAGGAAACCCTCCCTATCACCGCCATCGCTTTTTTTCGTGCCCAACCATCGGTCCTATCACGTCGTCAACACCGCACGAACGGTGCCCCATCTCCTCCTCCTCATCTATCATCGTCTTCTCCTTTCCCCCCCCCCCCCTCCTACAACTGGGCCTTCTCCCCTCCTGACGACATCATCATCCTTTTCTATGCTTGGCCGCCCCTGATACATAGCTCCACGCACGCAGACCCCGACTGTTCCGTTGCGCGTCAATAAGCCCGTCTTTTTTTCTGTTCTATTGTTTTGTTTGAGAAGCTCCCCGCGAGCTTCGTCTTGCGACCATGTCGATCGAGGCGGGCGTCGATTCAGGTAAGCGCCCTCGAGAGAAGCTTTCATCTACTTTGGAGATTCAAAACACCCGAGAAACACAAAGAACAACAACAACAACATACTAATCAAATATGCACCATCTGCAGCGGCCGCCAACCTCAACCTCAATCCAGAAGAGAAACGACTCTATGGACAGCTGTTCCGACAGGCCGATACTGGTAATGCTGGCGTCGTCACTGGCGAGGTCGCCGTCAAGTTCTTTGACAAGACACGGCTCGACTCGCGCGTCCTAGGCGAGGTAAGAAGGCCCCGATGAACATACAAACACACGTATACATGTCCCGGTTGTGACTGATAGCTTGTCTTTGATAGATTTGGCAAATCGCCGACAAGGAGAACCGTGGCTTTCTCACACCCGCAGGCTTCGGCATCGTTCTCCGTCTCATAGGCCACGCTCAGGCCGGTCGCGAACCCACCCCTGAGCTCGCCTTCCAGCCTGGCCAGCTCCCCCGATTCGATGGATTCGGCCCTCAGCCCGCGGCCTTGGGTTCGCCCCAGCCTCCCGCCGCCCTCCAGCCCCAGGGCTCTGGTAGCGCGATTCGCATCCCCCCCCTGACCCCCGACAAGGTCGCCCAGTACGCCGCCGTCTTCGAGCGCCAGCCCCTCATCAACAACACCCTTGCCGGCGACCAGGCCAAGCAGATATTCGAGAAGAGCGGCCTGCCCAATGAGATCCTCGGCCGCATATGGATGTTGGCCGACACCGAGCAGCGCGGCGCCCTCGTCCAGACCGAATTCGTCATCGCCATGCACCTCCTCACCTCGATGAAGACGGGCGCCCTGCGCGCCCTACCCAACATCCTCCCCGCCCCGCTCTACGAGGCCGCCACTCGCCGCGGCTCTCCTGTCGCCGTGGCCGCCCCGCGCCAGTCACCCTCCAACACGGGTTCCGGCATACCCGGCGTCCCCGGTGTCATTCCTCGCCAGACGACCGGCCACGCTCAGCCTCCCGGCAGCCCGCTCGGCCGCCCTCCCATCGTCGCCGCCCGCGCCGCCGGTGCCGGTCTTGGCGAGTCCGACTGGGTTGTCAACCCCGCCGACAAGGTCAAGTTCGACCAGATCTTTGCCGACCTCGACAAGGGGGCCAAGGGATTCATCACCGGCGAGGAGGCCGTGCCCTTCTTCAGCCAGTCCAACCTCGGCGAGGACGCCCTCGCCCAGATTTGGGACCTCTCAGACATCAACTCCACCGGCCAGCTTTCGCGCGAGGAGTTTGCCGTCGCCATGTTCCTGATTAGGCAACAGCGTGGCAACCGCACGATCCCGCTGCCCACCGTCCTACCCCCCAACTTCGTACCTCCCAACATGCGCGGCCCTAGGCCCCAGATGCCCCCTCAGATGACCGGCGCCGCCGGCGTCTCTGCCTACGACGCCCAGCCGGTCGCTGCGCCGGCGCCCCCGCCGCAGCCCAAGTCGGCTCTCGATGACTTGTTTGGTCTCGATTCCCCCTCGGCCAGCCCGGCCCCTCCGGTGTCTCGCGACCTGCCCGCTGGTGCCTCGGCCACCAACGACGCCGACCCCTTTTCCGGCGGTCCGTCGTCGCCCACCAGGACTGCTGCCGGGGGTGCCTCGTTCAAGCCGTTTGTGCCCACTTCTTCGTTCGGCCGTGGGCTGGCGCCTCAGCCGTCGGGTGGAAGTGGTGTCGGTAGCGGAGGTGACCTGCTCTCGGACGACGAGCCTGAGGAGACCAAGAAGATTTCCGGCGAGAGCACCGAGCTGGCCAACCTGTCTAACCAGATCAGCTCGCTGGCCAAGCAGACGCAGGAGACGCAGGGCAAGAGGACATCGACGCAAAATGACCTGAACCAGACTAACACGCAGAAGCAAAACTTTGAGCAGCGTTTGACGCAGCTGCGCGCCCTGTACGAGAAGGAGGCTGAGGAGACGCGAGCCCTCGAGGACCAGCTGCGCAAGTCTCAGCAGGAGACGAGGAAGCTGCAGAGTGATTGCATGGCGCTCGAGGGCTCTTACGCCGACGCCAGGACTCAGCACCAGGAGGTGGCCAATGCCCTGCAGGCTGACCAGCAGGAGAACGCCCGCCTCAAGGAGCGCATTCGTGGCATCAACGCCGAGATTGCCCAACTCAAGCCCCAGATCGACAAGCTCAAGTCCGAAGGCCGCCAGCAAAAAGGTCTCGTCGCCATCAACAAGAAGCAGCTCTCCACCAGCGAGGGCGAGCGCGACAAGCTCAAGGCCGAAGTCGACGAGCTCTCCAAGTTGCCCCCCGGCATCGACGACTCGGCCACCATGACGCGCGCTGCCTCCCCGCGCGCCGCCTCCCCGCGCGCCGCCTCCCCGCGCGCCGCGTCTCCACCCGTCGCCAGCCCTGCCGCCTCCACCACCAGCGGCAACAACCCCTTCTTTAGGCGCACCGCCAGTACTGACATCATGGGCGCCTTCTCCGGCTCCGCCCCTCCCTCCAGGAACGTCAACGAAGACTCCTTCGACGACGTCTTTGGCCCTCACGCCCCGGCCTCGACGGCCACCCCCCCGCCCCAGCCCACCCCCGTGTCTGCCTTCAAGCAGCAGAACACGGGCAACTCGGCTGCCAGTGGCGGTTCCGGCGCCCCCACCCCGGTCACCGCATCTCCCAGCATCAGCCGCCAGGCCACCCTCAATGTTGAGCCCCCCGCCCCTCCCGAGTCTCGCCAGATCAGTTCCAGCTTCCTGCCCTTTCCCGACCACCCTGAGTCGCTGAGCTCCTCGCGCCAAGTCTCGCCGCCGGCTTCCCGCGGCGACACCGCGTCCGCGACGACCGACTACCAGAGCCACTTCCCCGGCCCTGCTGTTGCTGCCGGAGCCGTTACCGGTGTTGCTGCCGGAGCTGCCGTTGCCACCGCTTCCTCCCCCACCACAGAAGTCCCCGGTGCCTTTCCCGGCGATGATAGCGACAAGCAGGACACGCCGAGCGGAATACCCGCCCCTGCCGACGTCACGAACCCTACTGCTGCTGATGGAGCTCCCCGCGCAGTCTCATCGTCGGACCCCTTCGCCAGCATGGACCAGGCCAAGGCTAAGGAGGATTTCGACAATGCCTTTGCGGCCTTTAGCTCCTCCAGCACCAGGGGCGCCGCCCAGGAGGGCAGCAAGCCCGGTGCCGATGCTGTCGCCAAGGGCAAGTCATTCGCCTTCGACGCCGAGTTCCCTCCTATCTCGGAGCTTCAGCGTGATGATGAGTCCGACTCGGATAGTGACGGTGGGGGTTTCGATGACGACTTCTCCCCTGCTTCGCCTGGGAACCTCAAGACGGATGCTCCTGCTCCTGCTCCTGTCCCTGCTCCTGCTCCTGCTCCTGCCGCTGGTGCTGCTTCTGCCCCCACTCGGGAGTCTGCGGACAAGTCTACCGCCGACGGCATCTTTGGCAAGACAGACACTACTGCCACCGGCGCCACTGGTAACAACAATGCTTCGTTTGATGATCTGAGTGACGACTTTGAAGGTCTCGAGGACGCCAAGGAAGGATCGGCAGACGACGACTTTGCCAACATTTCCCGCTCCGGTCTCGACGACTTCAACCCCATGTTTGACAGCCCCCCTCCTAGCCAGGCAAAGGGCGAGTCTAACCCCGCCGCCACTGCGGCTGCCGCTTCTTCAGCAGGCTTCGGTGGTAATAGCAGCGTCGCCAACGAGAGTAGCGGCGGCAGCTTCGACTTCATCTCGTCGGCTGGCAGCCAAACGCAGAAGTCCAACACGGCTGACTCGCACGATTGGGATGCCATCTTTGCCGGTCTCGACTCTTCTTCCTCCGCTGCTCCTGGCACCGCCAAGAACGATGCCACTGCCACTACTGGTGGACTGGCGGCTCCCACTGCCGAACGTCCCCCCGGTCCCGGTCGCGCTCTGACCGAGGCGGGTGAGCATGATGACCCCATGGTTAAGAGCCTCATGGATCTGGGATATTCTCGCCCTGATGCGGTTTCAGCCTTGGAAAAGTATGATTATAACCTCGAGAGGGTATGTTTCCTTTGTCCCGAATTATCCAAGAAAAACAATCAACACCCCCTTCCCCCCCCTTTCCTTGGGAATGGATAAAGGGTAGTAAATGCTGACTTTTGACATCTCCAGGCTGCCAATCACCTAGCCAACCAGTCTTGATGAATTAGCACAAACTCATGTATCCCTGTCTTTCCTCTTTTCTAATTATTTCCATTATAACTATGAGTCTAGCAAGACTTGAGTGTACGGTCTTTCGGGTTTCCTCTCTTTTATTTACTTCCTCGCCAGTTTCCTTGAGCAGCATTCTTTCAACTTTGTTGTACACAAAATACAGTCTCGACATTCTTTAAGACATATATATACTTTCCCCTCAAGCACAATGTACGTGTTACACCGCGTCGAAGGAGAGGAGAGGATGGTCATATTTTCTTCTTTTTTTCTTTGTCACCCTTGGAATAGGATGCTATCAATAATATAATATGTTTTCCCCCCCAACTCGCATAAAGATCGCTATCGTGACACCCCCCCCTTCCCACTATCTATGTACGTAAAACAAGCAAGACAATAACAGAAGATATAAGTAAGCAGAAACAAGAGATCAAAACAAGGCAGGGAAGGGGAAGGAAAGGGGTTACATAAATCAAGGCCAAGAAGGGTCTTAGGAAGAAAGAACGAGAAGGATGAACAGAAAAAGTAAAGAGTATGAAGAGATCTATTTAATCTTGCCCATTATAGTTTCCGGACCACGCTCAACATCAATCTGTGCAGCCCTGGCCTTGACGCTGTTGAGCATAGACCTGTCAAAGTCGTCCCTGCTTCGAAGCACAGACTCGACCCAGGTGATTTGCAGATCCCAGTACTTGACCTTGAAGTCGGCAAAGGTGTCGGGGACGTTGTCCTTGTCGGCGGTGAGGAGCTGGAGGAAGGGCTCTGTGACGCGCCAGGTCTGCTTGATGGAGGCGGCGACCTCCTGACCGGGCAGGCCGCTGGAGAAGAAGTCGAAGGCGACGGAGATGTCGTCGAACAGCTTGTCCTGGAAGGGGTCGACGCGGCGGAAGCGGGCGCCCTTGTTGCGGACGGATGACAGGTAGCGGATCAGGAGCTCGTCGGCGAAGATCTCGACGAAGATGTCGACGAGGGAATGGTGCAGGACCTGGCGGTAGTCGTTGACGTACTCCTCGAAAGTCACCACCATCTGCTTCATGGCGGTGCTGGTGTACCACCTCGGGGTGAAGAAGTCGGGCATGACGGCGCGGAAGTCGACGGCAAAGATGAGATGGGAGAAGCGTGTCATGCACCAGGTGCTGAAGTCGACGTAGCCGTCGCGCAGGTTGGCTATCTCGTTGTCGGCGCGCTCCGCGTAGGCCGGCGTGACGTGCGGCTCGAACGTGGCCCGGAAGCTGGTCAGGTAGCCCGGCCGGTTCTCCTCCTCGTTGTCATCGATGCAGGCGATCTGGTCGTTGGCCGTGGCCACCAACCAGTCCTGCAGGGCCTGAAAGCCCTCGAGATCGTCGCCGCCCGAGGACGCAGCTGACTCGTACCGCACCGCCTCGTCCTCCAGCATGGCCTGCCACGACCGCTGACGCTCCTGGAGCCGCGCGAGCATGGCGCCGATGACGCCCTCGACAACGTCCGCCCGCTGCGAGTTGGCCGCCGTCTCCACCTGCTCGCGCAACATGCGCCACAGCGGCGCCAAGTTCTTGGTCCGGAAGTAGCCGTACTCGTCCTGGTCCAGGTTCGGCCCGGCCTCGGGCCCGCCCGACGCCCGCCCCGCAAAGTCGCGCTGCTCCTGCGCGAAGATGCGGTCGATCCACTCATCTAGGAACTTGATGATGAGCTGCCGGAAGTCGCGCACCAGCTCCGCCTCGCGATTGTCGATGACATGCGGTGAAAGGTCGTCCTGGCTAATCCCCAGCTTGGCCATCTTCTTGTAGTACTTTTCCGGGAACCCGATGATCTCCAGCGTGTGCGCCGAGCTCGTGTCCGGATCGTCCACCGTCGCCACCAGGAAGTCGTGCATCAGCTGATGGTAGATGTCGGCGTACGTCTTGGCAATATGCCACCGCTTGGGCACCAGCGGCGTCATACCCACCCGCACCACGTTGAGGTCGTTGAAGAACCATTTCATCGACTTCTCCAGCATGTCCGGGTCGTCGAGGAACTCTTCGCGCGCCTGCTCCAGCTGCTGCTCCGCGCTGAGCCGGATCGCCTGCAGGAACTTGTCCTTGTAGCCGCGCACCTTCTTGGCGCCGCCCGTGATGGCCTGGAAGCGCACCGCCATGTCCTTGTGGTCCTTGAGCGCGTCCTGTAGCGCCTCGACGCGCTCGTCGCTCCTCTCCTCGGCGTCCATGACGAGGGCAAACCGCACCACCAGCCCGTTGTTGTCCTCGACCACGAGGTTGATAAGGTTGAGCGCCAGCAGGCCCACGTGCTCGTCAAACCACTCGATCGTGTCGTCCAGCCGCGCAAAGTAGTCCTCGAGCGTCGACCCGTACCCCGGGTCTTCGGCCCGCTTGATCTGCTCCATGGCGTCGTCGCGGATGTTGCGCAGCTCCGTCAGCTCGTAGTGGCATGGCAGGAGGTTGGGCATGTTCTCTCGGTCCGCGTCGTCTTCCTGCAGCATGCGCTCCGCCACCGACAGTCGGTCGTTGAAGGTCTCGAGGTTACGCCGCATTGTCTCTACCGCCCCGAAGTTGCGGTGCGCCTGCGACACCAGGTTGATGCTGGCGAAGTCCCGGATCATGTCCTGCGACTCCGAGCACAGCACGTCAATCTTCATCATCTCGTCCTTGATCGCCTGCACCGTCTTCTGCCCGTCGCTCAGCCCTGTCATGCCCGATTGCGTCAGCTCGAGCTGCTCCCGGAGCCCGCTCCGCAGCTGTGCGTCCACTGCGCTCTTCTTGCGCGAGAACTCCATCTTGAGCGCCGGTATCTTGTCCAGGTCGTCCGGGTGCCGTAGCAGCTCCGAGAGCTTGGGTGTTGGTGAATCGTTGTCGTCCATGATTGTGTGTGTGTATGGGGGGGGGGGGGGGGGGGGGGGGGGGATGTTGGTGGTTTGCAAGGGAAGAGAGTCGAGATCAACGTTGGACCATGATTGTTGGACCAGGACTAAATCCGTTCGCGACGCTACGTGTCTGTAACACGGGTGCGTCGCGAATCAAAACGGGAGAGGGGGAGAGAGGGAGAGAGGGTATCTGTTTGGCTTGTAGCTATGAATGTCGGATGCTCGAACCTCATACAGCGTGTTTCCTTGATTGCTCCGTCTTGGAAGTGGCGGTACGTACTCTAATGGCGGGGCTCGGCTCCCCGTTAGTCCGATAAATGCCACTAACGGTACGTACGGTTTATATGGACTTAGGGTTATTGCCAAGCATCGGCCTCTTCCCCATCCTACATATACATACATCACCACTGCTATCTCTATTGTTATATATAGAAAACAACACTCTCATATACTGGGCTGGGGACATTCTGATACTATCTTGACAGGCAAGCACTGAGCATCCAAAGCAACAGATCTCGGTCTCTGTCGTAGACAACGCTAGGGCACCAACGACGCGAGAGCAGCAGCATAGTCAACTGCATACAACTGAACCTTGCAGGTCTAATCAGAATTGGACTTCACGGCTGTGAAGGTGAGGGGTGAATTCATTCGCCGCTGCTACGCTCAAAATCCCTTCTCGTCGACCATATTTCCGACCATCTTACACTCATGCCGCCACCGGAATGGAGAACAGGCCTATCGGACCCTTGCTCGCACCGATGTTGGCCTGGTGCATGGACCTGGGCCCAAACGAATCCGGATAGTCGACAGCCGTATGAAACATCTGGTAGTTGGCCCATATGACCATGTCGCCCTCTTCGGTACGGGGAAGCATGATGTACTCCGGCTTAAGCACCCTCTCCTGGATAGGCTTGAGCCACTTGCGGATCTCGACCACGTCGTCAACCACGGTGGGCTCTTCGTCCAACGACTTGCGCAGGTGCATCTTGCGCACGCACATGCCATGCACCATGAAGGCTCTCTCGCCCGTCACAGGGTTGACCCAGACCATGGGGTACCTCTTCACCTTGGCCTCGTCGTACTCACCTAGGTCCTCCAGCGACTTCTCCTTACCCTCGGACGCGACGCCGAGACCGTTGGGGGAGCCTCTGCACGCGCTCATCCAGAGATATGGCATCGGCGCGTACTCGACCCACGAGTGGTCGGCGAGGACCTTCTCCTCGGCCGTCATGAGCTCGTAGCACTGCACATTGGAAAAGAAGGCCGTCAGCCCAGGCTCAACCTCCATGGCCTGCCCGCTACCGTCGTCCCAGTGGATAGTGACGTTGGGGCTCGTCGGCCGCTTGAGGCACCGGAGTGTTGTGAACCAGGCTGGGTCGCGATCGTACAGCGGTGCGTCGAGATGCCAGCGCTGGAAGCGCGTGTGACCCTTGGCAAACTCTTCCGCCGGCAGTTCGGTGACGTGCCAGTCATGCGATAATGGCTTCGTGACTGTCTTGTCAAGCAGGCCATAGTGGTCTGCTCCCTGGTATCCCTTACCGATGAGACGAACATTTTCGGCTCCAGGTATCCCGTGTACATCGCGGCTTTTCTGTCTCCCCGAAGTGTCAGTCGCCGTACCCGTGCTATGGAGGACGGGGTCCGTTTTCGTGAGACTGACCGCGAGAAGGCCCCCCTGCTTGTTAAAGGTCGATAGGGAACCGTGCGAATGGACCTGTGGCGCTTCGGGGTCCCATCGCGTGACTAGCTCCCACTGCTTGATCGGCTGCAGGTCCCTTTGACCCTTGACAACGACGACCTTGTGCCTCCAGACGGCCTCCTTGAGGGCCTGAACATCGGCATCTGAGAATGCAGACACGCACACATCAGAGCTGGGTTTAGAGAGGAATCATGGGCAATACCTGAACTGACCGGCAATGTTGTTGAGATCAAGACCTTGGACAACGGCACCAAAGTTAGTCTTCTTGCCCGCCTCCACGGGCATCGGTTCAATTTGGAAACTGGGACCCGAAAGCGAATTCATCACGACGGCGTCTGACGATGGAGGCTGGATGCTGCGGTACCGAGACTAATGAGAACTAGCAGTGTTCAAATATCGACGTTTTCTTTATTCCCAAATATCCTAAGCCACGATCCTAACAGCAAACGCCTCTAAGGATGGCTGATTGGGGATTTAATACATTGACCACAGCGCTATTACCATTCTGTTGCCCGCAGTTGGCCAGATGCTTGTCAATCATAAGCGACTCCCGTCATTATCAGTGAACCCCCACTTCGGGACCGAGCCTCGGGCCACCCCACAACGGTCATCTTATCAACGGCTCTGGCTATTCCCCAATTGCTGACCGAATTTCCCTCCGCTGTACTAAGCATGCAGAGCCAGCCTTCCGACATGGATAGCACGGAGAAGGACACAAGCGCATACTCCGAGTGGATACTGAGCGTGATGATATATATCGGGAGGCAGTCCCCTCTGGATCGAAAGGGGGCCAAAAACAACTTTCAGCTTTGATCTCTTCTTGACCACTCCGTGTGAAAAAAAAAGAAAAAAAAACAAAGAGGATAAAACAAAGAAAGCAGACGCTGTACCATGTTTTCCCGCATGGCAGCCGTTGCTGTCTTTGCTGTTTCCCTCCTGCTGTCGGCCCCCGTGGCATCGGCCCATCAGGTAGGCGGCATGGTCGTGGCCGACTCGACCCTCACCATCAACGATGTCCCCTTCGCCACACGGGCGTACTGGATGCGCAAGGCCAACGAGGCCCTCTTCACAGTGACGGGGTCCGCATGCCCGTTTGCGGCCTTTGGAACCGTCATTGTGAACCACACGGCCTCGACGGACGGCGAGCTGGTCTGCATTGGAGCCAATTACAAGAGCATCGTTGGCAACCCGACATTGCACGGTAAGGCACTGCCCTCCCTCCCCTCTGCACTGCCAGCAAGGTGAATTGACTGTGTGTGATGCAGGCGAAATGGCCGCCATTTCCAACTGCACCAAGATCCTGACGGACCCAAATGGTCCCTACAACCTGACAGCCGCCGAAGCCCAAGAGGCCTTTGCCGACCTGTCGCTGTACACCAATGCCGAGAGCTGCCCTATGTGCGCCTCGGGGATCCAGTGGTCCGGCTTCAGAGAGTACATATACGGGTCTAGCATCGAAACGCTCATACAGAAGGGCTGGAGTCAGATCCGCATACCCTCCATTGACGTGTTTCGGCAGTCGTTTGATCTGGGCGGTTCGCCGAGGCTCTTGGCTGAGGTGCTCACCAACGAGACGGACCCGTACTTTTTCTGGCAGTATGACCCGGACTATGCTTGCCCCAAGGGATGCAAGAGGGTCACAGGTGTATGTTCCGATGAGTGAACACATAGTCGATCTAAGAGAGGGGGCGTATACAGGAGCAAGGTACATATATATAAGATGTATACAAATCTTGAATTTCATGTTTTCTGAGTACCATCACTATCGTTCCAACAAAGATAAAAGCCGGGGGGGGAGGGGAGATCAAGCAACCGTCCCGGCCGGAATGACCTTATCCATTGCGGCAGCGGCCGCCTCCCTCTTCCTCTTGGCCTCCTCCTCGGCCTGAAGCTTAGCCTGCAGAGCGGTGAACTGGACCTTCATAGCCTTTGCATTGAACTCCTCGCCCGTGACGGCGGGGTACTTCTTGAGCGGGCCCTGGATGATGGTATCCTTGGAGGGCTGGTTGAAGAAGGCGATGCTGTACCTCTCGTCGTAGTTGTCACCCTCCTCGCAGGGAGCCTTGACACGATGCAGGGTGCTCTTGAAGCGATCGTCGGACCAGCTCATGAGGAGGTCGCCGATGTTGCAGACGATGCTGCCAGGGACGAAGTCGACCTTGGTCCACGCCTCGTTGCCGGAGGCCCACTCGGTGACGACCTCGCGGCCGGGGCAGATCTCCAGGCCGGACTGGCCCTCTCGCTGGAACAGCAGAGTCAGCAGGTCCCAGTCTGCGTGGGCGCCAGCGCGGTGGTAGACCTGGCCGTCGCCGCCGCCGCTAGGGCGCGGGGTCTCGAAGTAGTGCAGCAGCCGCAGCACGCTCTGGCAGTTGGGCTTGGTCACGTCGTGGGCGCGAACGAAGAAGTCGTCCGGGAAGCCGAGCCCGCGTGCGAAGCAGATCATCAGCTTCTCCGACACGCCCTGGACAAGGTGCATGAAGGACCAGCTCTGGTCGTGAAAGCCCGGGCAGGCATCCTCGCTGATCCACATGCCCTTCATGTGCTCGCCGAACTGCAGCTGGTACGACTCTTTCTGGTCGGCGGCGCCAGTTGACGGCCGGATCTGAGACTTGTGCTCCCACCCGACGTTGTTGGGGTTCCAGGCAACCGTGCTCTTGGTCTCGTTGGGCAGCGCGAAGAAGCGTTCTGACATGGCGAACATGGAATCAATCTGCTCGGTTGTCACGCCATGATCCACGATGGCGAAGAAGCCCACCTGCTCGGCTGCCGTGACGAGCTGCTCTGTGATTTCGTCCACGCGTGACTCGAAGTTGGCCAGGGAGATCTGGTTGACTATCGTGTCAGTTGGTCTTTCTGGGAAGAGAGAGAGAGAGAGAGAGAGAGCATGTGTCGCTTGTTCTCCGTCTTACCTGGGGAATAGGCCTATCCTCGTACTTGGTCGCCATGATGTTTGATGTGGATTTTGAGAGTCTTGTAGTATCGGGTGCTTTGTAAGTTTCTTGAGGTTTCTGAAATCGAGAAATCGAGGATGTGAGGAACACAATCGGACGAAGGTCGCGTATTCATAAAGGAGTTGCTTGTTCAAGAAAGACTAACGTTCTTCGGGGAACCGCCGCCGATAAAATTTGCTGGTGGCTTCGAACCGTTCCAACCATCCTTCGGGCGAATCGATGGTCGGCAACCTCGCCCGAAGGCAGCCTACTCTCCATGTAACATGGACTTACACATCGGTCCCGCGTTGATGGTGTCGTAGTCTTCGCGATAAGAGAGCGGGGAAGTTCGGCCGAGGTGCCGATGCACTATCACCCTCGGCCGATGCACTGTATACATGTACGTGGGTATCTGGATAGGATCTATTTCCGAGGGCCATCTAGGATAAAATGAGTCTAGATACGTCGGATAGTCTTTTTTGGAAATTCCTCAGTCTCAATTGGTTGCAATATGATTACACGTAGTCGGGTGCAACTGGCTAGACGTAAAAAAAATTAAAATTGTACGGTTCATGGTTGCATGTGCAAAACGGCCGGATACAGGACCACAACTAACAGACTAGGGACACAGCTCGAGATTTATCGAATACACATGTAGTCACATTAATTCTATGGCTATCTCTTCTCTGCCGCCTACTTTGATAACGACGTTGATCCGACGTCTCCTCCTCTGCACTACAGTTCTCTGGCCAACGGAGACTCTGCCACCTTACCGCCGTCCTTCTCGCCCGTGGTGTTTCCGCTCTCGACATCATTAGCCTCGACACCGTGGATGGCACTGTAATCGCCACCCGGTACAGTCACCGGCACGAGCGTCTCCTCTGCGGGGAAGAGGTAGTTGAGAAGCCAATAGAGGAACAGGGAGGTGATGTATCCGTAGAGCCAGTTGAAGGCGAACAGGTGCTTGAGCCCTTCGTTGAGCGGAACATTCTGGGGGGTGACCTTGTTGCCCAGGGCCGGCAGGAGCGGGACTATGACGACGATGTTGATGACCAGGGCGCGCCAGTTGACGCCGAATCGGCCGAAGCGGTAGATGCCATGGGGGTCGTACAGGGCGGGCACGTCAAGCTTCCTCTTCTTGACGAGCCAGTAGTCTGCCGTGAGCAGGCCGGCGATGGGGGCCATGAAGATTGCGTAGGCGGACATGAAGTTGAGGAAGGCGGTGGCCGAGCTCATGATGATCCAGGGGCAGAGGGCCCAGCCGCCGAACAGGGCGACGAAGATGGTCCCCCGCCGGATGTTGAACCACTTGGGGGCGAGGGTGGTGACGTCGTTGGCGAACGAGATGGCGTTGGCGCTGATGTTGACGCTGATCTGCGCCAGCAGCCAGATGGCCGCGCAGAAGAAGGCGGCGGCGCGACCTCCCGGGTTGTCCTGCCACTTGTTGATGATGTCGATGGGGTCCCAGAGCGTCTCGCCCCAGATCTCGCGCGACGCGCTGGCGGATACGACGCCAAAGACGCCCATGAGTGTCTTGAGGATAGGGATAAAGGGCAGCTGCCACCACGGGGCCGACCTGTCTTTGCTGAAGCGGGAGAAGTCGGAGATGTTGACTGCCAGCGTGCTATAGCTTCCCGTCACTGCTGTCTGGAATGAGAAGGGAGGGGAGAGTTAAGCCAGAGGATCAAGGGAGAAGTAATTTTTTTTTTTCAAGATGAGAATAAGAATAAAGGAGGCGTGTAGACAATGATCTCTCATCAAGGGGGGTTGTACATACCAGGTTAGATAGCCACAGCCAAGACCGAGCAGACCCAGATACCGACCCAGGTGCGTTGAAGAAGTGGCTCCCCCCGCCGGCTTTGACGGAGATCCAGACGACCATGGCGATACACATGGGAATGGTCAAGACAGCCTTTACGTTGAACAGGTAATTGAGCTTGTGGGTCGGTATCAGGAGCAGGGGGAACTGGAGGAGCCAGTAGATGAGGTACGAGCACATGCCCTGGGACGAGACGCCAATGCTGGCGGGCAAGTGGTTGGGGACGTCCGCATAGCTGGGCCAGATGGCCAGTATCATCTGCATCGAGTGTCAGCGCGGGGGACGGTCGGCACATGCGTGTACGGCCGGTTCAGCGGAAGGGGGCCGTCTCTTCATCGAGAGCCTTACAGCAGTGACGCAGTTTCCCCCAGCAGCACTCTGCACGCCAAACCAGAACAGGGCGAGGACTCCGCGACTGATGATGCAGAAGTAGCTGAGCCAGTAGCCGTAGCTCGCCCTCGCCGCGATGGGGAACGGGATGTGCAGGTCGGCGCCGATGCACCCGTTGAGGACGGTGGGGATGGCGTTGCAGATGCCGGCGACGAGCACGATGAGGATGGCGTCCGTCGCCGAGAGGCCGGTGGCGACTATGCTCGACGCTGTGCTCCATGCCGAGATGGTGGCCAGGTCGCTGTACCAGTACGTGAGGAAGGACCACTTGTTCCAGGTGAGGAGCTCCGGGGGCACAGGGTCTGTTGGCATCGATGGAAGCAATGGTCAGCTGTATTCCGGTGGACTGGCTCGGACCGCGCAGACATGGACTGGGAAGGGGCCAACCTTGATCAGCATTCGTCCAGACACCCGGCGGAGCAATGCTGCTATCCTGCTTCGGAAGAGCCCAGCTTCCGGGCTCGGTGAGCCGTAGCTTGGTCTTGTCGACAATGTGGCTGGCCTTGGCCCGGCCTCGTTGACGGAGGTTTTGCAAGTCCATGGCTCAATGCTATGACGGACAACAGTAGACAACGACGGGGGAGGGGGGTAGCAAGCAATTCGCTGGAATCCTCGAGGTTCGACGACATCACGTCTCCTGTCCCTGGGGACCCCGGTGCTATCTATGTAAATGTAGTCTGTACATCACATACGCGCAACGGGATAGTTCCGACGGGAGGGGCCTCGACAACCGTGGCGACGGCCAAGACCGTGATAGTGATAGTGGATGTCCCCCGTCCGTCCATGATAGAGAGGCATGGCCTATCGTTTGTCGTCAGCGCGAGTCAGACGGGGTCAGATCCCGGTCGGCACTGATAATATCATGTACCATGTATCCATGGGGAAGGCTGATAAGTTGCCGGGGGGCATAATGGATCTGAGCCTGATGTACATCGTATAAGGTCGATGCGATAACGCCAGGGTTACATACGCCCATGTCGTTTCCACCCCACGCTTATCAGGAGCTTACATCGCCAAGCACACATGTATATTTTATTCATGACCAGTACCGAGCGTACCAGTACGGTGGAATTCGTTTGCAATCTTCCGAGCCTACCCCGGAAGGTGAGAAGTTGCCAGTCAACGTCCCAATGTTTCGCGTACGTAATGATACACGGTAGTTTTCGTAGCTTCGACTTCGTACCATCAGAATGGCCACATATCCATTGGTGTCGATAGTCACAAGCACATTTCCGTAAATGGCATTAGGAGCCGTAGGAGCAATACGAGCAGCACTGTGTACTTTGCACTACCGCCTTCCCACACCAAATCAAGAAGATCTCGGTCGCATCCGCGCAGCAGCCTCGGGCTTCGGGTCACCATCTTCTCATCATCTCACCATCCCCAGACTCGTTCCATACTCACTCGAACCTCAGTGGACTGGAATGAAATTAGAACATGTCTCCAGACGGACTGCGCATCCGCCTCGCCTGCGCCGCCTGCACCCGCCGCAAGGTCAAGTGCTCCAAGACGGTGCCCTGCACCAACTGTGTCCGGAGGTGCGCCACCAGCAGTCCCGTAATCTCGGGTTTGAGCAGACCCTGTTTCTAATTCCTTCCCTGGGCTAGCATAGACGCGAGCAAGAAACCTGTGCAACGGGAGCCGGTTCCATCTCGCCGGACGCCGGACGGAGCGTACACGCAGCATCAGCCGCCGCACCTAGCTCGGCATCACAACCGAGGTCGGGGTCGGCCGGGCATGCTGACCGGACAGACGAAGTCGACGGATTGAAACTCAGAATCATGGAGCTCGAGGCTAAGCTCCGATACACCTCGCCCATATCTCAGCCTTCACCGTCCGGCCGGACCGCGGTACCGCCGGCGGAAGAGGAAGTCGACGACGACGGCGGCGACGACCATGATGGCGACGACCGTGATGGCGACGACAATGATGGCGACGACCCCCGAGACGACGACCCGCGCCGTGACTCGGTCGCCGAGGATGCCGCCTCCATACTCGAGTTCCTGGCGTGGGGACGGAGGAAGAACCCCGAGAGCGTGTGCCGCCCCGCGACGTCACCCGAGGCCGTCTCCAGGGATATCCCCATGCACCCGGAATTCGCAGACACGTCCGCCGCCGCCGAGCATGAGCACGGCCACATCCCGTCCACCGCGGTCCTGCAGCTCCTCCTGCCCGACCAGCGACGGGTGTGGCAGCTGGTGGACTGGCACTCGCGCTGCCTCCTGTGGTACCACTGCTCGTACTACGCGCCCACGCTCCGACGGCAGCTCTCGGCTTTCTACTCGCAGCACGGCGGCCGCGTGTCGGACCCGGGGGTGGACCTGCAGTGGGTAGCGTTCCTGTTCGCCGTGCTGGCGGGGACCATGGCCTGCGTGCCCGGCGCGACGGCCTCGCTCTGGGGCTACCGCGACGCCGAGAGGGAGACGCTGTCGACGAGGTGGCTCCAGGCCAGCATCGGCTGCCTGGAGCGCGCCGACTACGCGGCCAACCACTCGATCCTGTCGGTCCAGGCCATCGCCACGCTGACCGTGTCGGCCCACATGCTGGGCTTCTCCAACCAGCAGTCCATCTACCTCGCCGCCGCAGTGCGGATAGCCCAGAGCCTGGGACTTCACAGGTTAGCGACGACGACGGGCGACAGCAGGCCAGGTAGCGGCAGCGGCAGCAGGAGCGGCAGCAGGAGCGGCAGCAGGAGCGGCAGCTTCGCGGAGAGGGAGGCCGGCCGGCGCGTGTGGGCCCAGCTATGTATACAGGACTGGTTCAACCTCCCCTTCTCGGAGACGTACCTGATCAACCCGCTATACTCTCGGACCGAGATGCCCTGGAACTGCCATGACCACGACCACGGCGACGACGACATTGCTGAGCCATCTGTGACGCGGCTGGACGAGAGCATCCCGACGGTGACGAGCTTCTCCCGGTTCCGGTGCTCCATCGCCGCCATCCTCCCCCGTCTGCAGGACGACCTGGAGTCGTGCAACACCCCCTTCACGCGGTACGAGCAGATCGTCAAGTACGACAGACAGCTGCGGACTCTCGCGACGGCGGGGCGGCCGCCCTTCCTCTCCAACGGGCCCATGCGCGCCGACTGGCCCGCATGGGTGCCCTGGGCGCGGCGGGCCCTGGCCATATCGTCGTCGCACAAGATCATCATGATCCACCGCTCCTTCCTGTCCGAGAGCTTCACCAACCCGGCCTTCGCCTTCACGCGGCGCACGTGCCTGGCCGCCGCCAAGACGATCATCAAGGAGTACAAGTGCGTCGTCGACGAGGGCGGAGACGGGGACGGGGACGCCGGGCCCGTCATCTGGGTCCACCAGGCCTTCTCCGTCGCCGCCGCCATCATCCTGGTACTCGACATGTTTCACCGCGACCCCGACAGCGATGTCGAGGTCCCCGAGCACAGACGTCTAGTGGAGGACGTCATCAGGATCCTCAGGACGTGTCGCAACAGCTCGGTCGCCGTGAGGGGCGTCAGACTGCTGTGCCGTCTGCTCGAGGAAACGGCTAGAGTCGGTGGCAGCGGTGGCAGCGGTGGCTGTAGTGGAGGAGGAGGAGGAGGAGGAGCTCGAAAGAAGCGCAAGGCAGATGATTGTGGTGGTGGACAGGGCCCAGCAGCAGCAGCTCACAAGAGACGTCGAGGGTTCGACGTCGACGCCTTTGTCAAGTCTTTCTGCCGAGAGCAGGAGCAGGAAGAGCAGGCCGGGACAGCTCCGCAGGCGCAGGGGACACCGACGGCCATGATGGAGCAGCCATCGCTGACGACGGCACTCATGCAGTCGTCGATGCCGACCGATACCTTTCCTGACGTGGACTGTTTCGACTCGAGTGGGAGTGTTGAGAATCTGCTGTATCTCGCCAATCACGATGTTTTCTCATTTTGACGGCTGGATGGATTTTGACGGCTAAAATAAAAGTCCAGTTTTCTTTTCTCCGTTTCGTTCGACAGCTGGTACATTTTTTTTCTTCCTCTTTCTCCTCATTCGTATAATACATGGTCAATATAAGGGTATATGATTTGGGGGGGGGGTTCGTTCTCCTTCGTCAACTTTATCCTCCTCCCCCCCCTCCTCTTCTTCTTCTCCTCACGTGTAAATGCGCAATCATGTTATATCACACACAGATATATCGCAGTTCAGATTCTCGGTCCTCTCACCCCCCCCTCAAGTCTCGTCATCGTTGCCGTCGCTCCCAGAACTACTCGTATCGTCCGGGTCTAGCTCATCAAAGCTCTCCTCAGCCACGACATCACCCACCTCTAATCCCTGACTGTCCTGTCCCTCCTCTTCCTCTTCCTCTTCCTCCTCCTCCTCCTCCTCCTCCTCCTTCCCCTGTTCGTCATCAACCTCACCATCCTCCATCTCCGCATCATACTGCTGAAGACCTACCCTCCTCCTCCTCTTCGGAGACTTTCCAGCCATGTCGACCGACGGCATCTTCTTCCGCTTAGAAGGCGTCGGTCCCCCCGACCTGTTCGACGTCTTGGCCACGGCAACCCCCCGCCTATGCGTCGGCGGCGGCGCGCCGTTGTACTCCTTTGGGCCTAGGACGAAACCCCCAGGAAGCGTCTCCCCCCTGGGAAGCACGTAGATGGTCGGGAACTCGACGACGACGGTGTCGGCGAGGATGTCGGCCAGCGTCTCGTTCACGGTCAGCCGCGTGACGCGCCGGGGCATGTCGGACCTCTGCCACGGGCTGGCGAGGAAGTAGTCGAATTCGGCCTTGTGCTTGGCGTCCCGGTCCGCAGGCCACATGTCCTCCGCCAGGGGCGCGTCCACCCACCGTCCCGTCGAGGGCTCCTGCATGGCACCCGCCAGTTCGGCATTCCACAGGCCGTCGTGGCCCTGCTGCCTGGTGCGCACCCTGCTTCGCGTAGTCGGCGTGGAACTGTTCTGCTGCTGCTTCCGATCGTCCAAGCACCGGTGATGAGCCTGGTAGATGGGCACATCGTCCAAGCTCTTGCCCAGCATCCTGCCGTCACCGCTTCCGTCCTCGTTCCCGCTCGAGAGTGCGATCCACTCAACTTGCCAGTTCACCCTGTTGGTCGAGCGATGCAGCGTCGTCCTGTTCTCCCTGCGCCTCTGCATCCCCATGGGCAGGCACTCCATCCTGATATTCAGCCTCCTGAGCTGCCGGGACAGGACCTTGACGATGGCCCTGCCGCCGCCGCCGGCCCCGTCAGCGGCCCGCCTCAGCTCCCGGGTCACGATGACGCGACGCTGCGTCCCGTCCGGGGCCCGCCTCCACCTCACCTCCTTGATCGTGGGCGGGGGGAGGTGGTCGAAGTCGGACGCGGGCACCAGCTTCCTCTCCTCGACCATCTCACGCTGCGTTCGGCCGACGTCGAGCTCCATCCCGTGCAGGAAGTTGTAGTCGTGGTCGATGCCAGAGGCCGTCTTGAGGTCGCGACGGGGCCGGTAAACGGTCGCGTCGCGCTCGCCGCTGCACTCGGACCACGTCTTGTGCTTGCGCACGCACGCGAGCGAGCAGGTGCGCGCGCTGCAGCGGGGGCATCGATATCGAGGGGGTGAGACGTGGCATATCGAGCAGAGGGTTGTCAGGATAGGTTCCGTCATTGTAGTGGGTTCTATCTCATTGTTCGAAGCTATGCATGAATCGTTCGGCCGTGTTGAGAAGCAGATGATGTATGTGGATGATGGGATGAAGAATGTAAGAATGTGAGGCGAAGAATGGTAAGAATGATGACTTGTGGTGCTGTGATTGTAGGAAGCGAGGTTCGGCTGTTTGACAAGGATTTTTTTTTTCTTCTCTATTCTTTCTTCTTCTCCATTAATCTTATTTATCAGTGACATCAGCCACACTTTTTTCTTTCTTGCTCTATACACGTATACTGACAGAGTCTCAGTCCCTGACCACCCCCCTAGCAAACGCAAATAGGTATTTATCATTATCATTACATATAATCTTGCCAACCCCATTGTCAGAGATAGCCACGTATAACTTTTGGTCGCTTACACAACCGGGAGCGTCTGCATATACACAATTCAATGTCAGATTCTTCACTTTATACGGGTGCATAGGGACAAGCTAAGTTTAAAGTGTCATTCAATATCAGAAAATGGTCTCCGATCCTATCCTGTTCCTTCCAAGGAGTGACTTGGAAATGGAAGAGAAGAAAAAGGGTTTGAAGAGAAATAGAAACTAAAGGGTGATGAGGTAGTTAATAAAAGGAAAAGAAGTCCCCCTTCGGCTAATTGTTTATAAACAAAATAGACTCCAGAATAGTTGGTGACTTTGAACTCTCGAAAATTGGTACGTTCGTCAGTCGTGTGATGTAAGGATATGTCAAGATGGAAAGAAAAAAAAAGTGATCAGAAGAGAGATGGACCAGTAAGAGAATAAACAGTATCAAGAGATAAGAAGGGCAGTCCAGCTTGCAAAGCCAACCCCCCTATGAGATGAAGAACAAAATGAAAAGAAAAAAGAGAGACGGAGAAGAGAGAAGGAGAGGAGGGGAAAGAGAAGAAGAAAAGGGGCGGGTATGAGCAAAGGGTGGGGGTTTTCCAGAAATAAGAAAGACCAGATAAACACAGATAAAGACATTAAACGCCTCGGAATCAACGCAAAAAAGACAAGCACGCAAAGCCGGTTTTTTTTTTTCTTCTACACGTCGGACCGTCACAGAACGCTCATCGGTTACCGCCGATGGCGCTGATGCGAGCTCCGGAAGACCGGTGAAGGAGAGAGTTGGTGTTGCCGTGCTTGGACACGAGGCCATTCTCCTGAGAGCCGTGATCCGTCCTGGCGTCCTCGAAGCCGTCCTCCTCGTCGTCCTCGACGATCTTGGTGGGTATGTCCTCGCGCGACAGGAACTGCTGGCTTCCCCTCTCGGGCGTCGTGGCCGTCGTCGACGCAAACGACATGGCCGTCGAGCTGCGGTTCGGGATCAGGTCCGGCGTGGGCGGGATGCTCGAGGGCCTTCCCGACGGCTGGAGGAGGCTCTCGTCGCCCGTCTCCGACGTGGCGGCCGAGTGGCCGTCGTCGCTGCTCTGGGCGGCCGACAGGTTGCTGTTGCGGCGGCTGGCGCTGGCGCTGGCGCTGCGGACGCTGGCGGCGCTGTCGCGGTGGTTGTGGGCCTCCCTCCGGCTGCTGCGGAGCTCGGCGTCCTGGGCCAGCTGCAGGCTCTCGACGGCGGCCTGGCACTGCTCGGCAATGTTGCGGACGATGTGGGCGATGGCGTCCGTCTTGTCCTTGAGGTGGCGGTCGGCCACGTCGATGAAGCTCGAGGCCGAGATGCGCCTCTCGTCCTGCGACATGGCCGACTTGAGCCTCTCCCTCCTCTCGGCCGGCGACAGGCCCTTGCGCTCGGCCTCGGCGATCTGCTCGTCCTCGAAGCCGGCCTCGATCTCGCTCAGCAGCTCCTCGGGCTTGGTCAGCGACTGGATCAGGTGCTCCATGTGGTGGCTCTGGCCGCCGACCAGGCTGCGGAGGTGCAGCACCACGCGGCGGGCCTCGTCGCGCTGGCGGAGTATGGTCGTGTTGGTGTGCTGCATCTGGGCGAGCTCCTTCTTGTTGCGCTTGCGCTCGCGCTCGAGCTCCTCGGCAATCTCCTGCTGGAGCACCAGGGCCTCAAGGGCGTCGTCGCGCTGCTTCTCGGTGCCGCTGAGGCGGACCGACAGGCGGGCGTTGTCGTCCTTCTGCTGGTCGATCAGGCCGGCCAGGCGGCGGTTCTCCTTCTTGTGGCTCTCAATCTTCATCTTGAGGTCCTGCGTCTCCTTGGTGAGCTGCTCGGCAAAGGCCTGGAACTTGAGGAACTGCTGCTTCCAGCTCTCGAGCTCCTCGACCAGGTAGCTGTTGCGCTTGTTGACCTTGTTCAGCTCCGTGTCCATGCGGCCCTTGAGGTTGATGAAGTCCTGCCAGGCCTCGAGGGCGTCGCGCGAGTACTGGTTCCTCTCGCGGACAATCTCGTTGAGGTGGCGCATCGAGACCTTGGTCATCAGCGGCTTCTTCTGGGAGCCGGAGAAGACGGCCTTCATGCCCGAGTTGCGGCCGATCTTCTCGCAGACGTGGTCCATGACGGCCATGACGGCGTCCTGGTTCCACCACTCGGGGTCCTGGATGGACTCGACCTCGCCCCGCATGACGATGATCTGGCCGGCCGGGATGAGCTTGCCGCCGCCGTAGGCGGAGCGCAGATGGTTGGGGACGCCCGAGGGGGTGACGTCGCCGGCGAGGGACTGGGTCAGGCGGGCGACAAACTTGTTGCGCTGGGTGGGGGTCAGGGCCGTGGGCGGGTCCGAGGTCAGGACGAAGTTGCGGTCGAGATCGACCACCAGGGCGTCGGTCGGGGCCGTGAAGAGGGAGCGGCACTCGGCCGTGATGCCGAGGATGTAGGGGCCGGGCTCCTGAACCAGCTCGGCAGCGTGGCGGGCGTGGACGACGGGCACGTAGAGGCCGCTCCACTCGTAGACGCGGACGCAGTAGCGGACGCTCTCGGCAGCCATGGTCAGCATGGCCGGGTAGTGGCTGGTGAAGATGATGCGGCGGGTGGGGGAGATGGCGGCCTCGATGACTCCGACGATGTTGGGGATGGACAGGCAGGAGAAGAGGGGCCACATGGCAAAATTCTGGAAGCCGGTGGGCGACGACGGGAACTGGTAGCACAGGGCGTAGTCCTTCATGTCGATGCGGACCAGGTCGTTGAGGCGGGGTGCCGGGAAGCTGAGGATGCGCGAGACCTCCTCGGCGTGGAAGAGGTTGGTGGCCTTGTTCCAGTGGATCCACATGCCGCGCAGGTAGTCACCCAGGAGGTTGTACAGAGGGTACCTGGAGAGGAAGGACAGGCAGTAGGGGATCCAGTAGGTCTCGTCGGGGCTGTCGTAGAAGTCGGGCTCGGTCCTCTTGCGGAGGTCGCGGATCGTCTCGGCCCTCTTCTCGTCGGCGCGCGACCAGACACGCAGGGAGATGCCGTAGAGGGTGTGCGAAGAGTCCTGCTGGAGGACGAAGGCGTGGTGGACGCAGTGGGGCTGGCTGCGGCCAGTGCAGATCTCGACGTCGTGAGGGAAGCAAGCCTATGAAGCGAAGAGGGGGTGGTCCTGTTAGTCTGCCGCTCATGCTCGCATCCTTCAATCCGGTCGCATCCCGTCCGGTTTGTCGGGCATATCGGGGAAAAGGGGGGTTCTGGAGTTAGGGATCGGACGACGCTGAACAGGTCTCCTTGCTCGGTTCATACCTTCATGGCGGCGTGGAGAGCGCGGGCAATCTCGTTGTCCTGCTCGAGCCTGGGGCTGCTGCCGAGAATCTCGGGGAGCCAGAACTGGCCGACGGCGCCCTTCATGTGGCCAATCTTTCCCTGGCCGGGGCTCGGGGCCTTGACCCACTGGGACGGCTCGCGTCCGACGCCGCAGACCATGTAGGCATGGGTGAGGGTCTTTGGGGTTCGCTGCTGAGGCTTGGAGACGAGGGTCGCGGGAGCAGGCTGGGTGATGCGCGAGTGGAGGGACGAGGTGCGGCTGGGAATCAGCAGGTTGTCGGTGTTGGCCTGGTCGCGGGTGCTGGGCCGGCCATCACGATCGCTGGTCCTCGGTCGGGTGAAGGAAGAGTGGGTGTTGAGGGAGGGAGGCATGGTGGCGGCTGGGTGTATGTATGCCTGCCTGCCTGCCTGCCTGCCTTCCTGCCTGCTGAAGCTCGCTTCTCGGCGGTAGGGTCGAGAGGTATCGACTAGATTCTACAGTCCGGCTGCCGTGCACTTCCCGACAGTTCTCGGCCGAACTGGAAGGCGTCTGTCGAACCCGGGTCAGGTGGAAGGCTGAGAGGGACGGAGGAGAGACGAGGTCAGTCCGTCGGCTGCCCGATAGATCTGTTGCTGTCGAGGAAGGCTCGAAGGCTCAAGAGGCCATTCGGATTCCCGGAGCAGAATATGACGAGCTCGAGGTGAGCCGGACGAGAGGGAGAAACGAATGTAATCCTCTGAAAAGGAAAAAGGAAAAGAAAAAGGCGGAAAGAAGAAAGATGAGGGGTGGAGCCTAAGGGGAGGAGAGAGGAAAGAGAGGGAGAGGGAAGGGGAGGAAGAGATGAGAGAAGAGGCGAGAGGGTTGGGGGATGGAAGGTGCCAAGGCTGGTAAAGAGCAAGCAAGAGCCAGGGTTGCCTCTCATGCAGGCTGCCCGGGGGGGAAGGCGTGGGAGGTGTCAGGGGACTTGATTAATTAGCACGATGCTCGGACTCTGTACCTGTACGGTTACGTCGTAGGTGCCGAGAGGGAGAGACGGCTTGCAAGGATGAAGGAGGAAAAGGGGGCCCGTTTCTCTCTCTCTCTCTCTCTCCCTCTCTCTCTCTATTCTGTCCGACTGTACGAAAGACTTGCTGCCGATACTATGTACGAGAAAGCCTAGCTCAGGCCGGCTATGCATGCTGTTTGGGGTGTGGGAGGGAGGAGGAGAGGGGAGGGGAGGGTCCAGGATCACGAAGCAGAGCAGTGGTGGTCCCCTGAAGGCCGCAGTAGCTATTGCTCGGTACTAGTCTGTATGCAGCCGTACTACCCACCTCTGGTGGAACAGGGGTCACCCTGTCCAGGGCCGGCCAGGTACGACTCTTTACGATACCATACAAGCTATATACAAGTGTACGCACGAGTACCCGTACGAGCACTATCAATACTAACTCGGTCATACAGGTACTGCTATCCGTACCCATCGTAACCTGTACAAGGTAGTATTATTATGATGACACGGGAGAAGGAGATGAAGGATGAGATGAGGAGGAAGAAGAAGAAGAAGAAGAAGAAGAAGAAGAAACCCAGATCGGGTGATCCAGTCTCCCCCACCCCGTGGACAGGTAACGGGTACAGATGGTGGTATGCGTCGACAGCCGACGAGCACAGGTCTCCGGTACCTCGCCATGCGGATAGGACGGGTCGGGCACTAGGCTGAAAGGGGAGGTTAGCGGCCCGAGCTGGAAGGGAGAGACAGCGGTACGGTACGGCGGTACGGTACTTGAGAGGGAGGGAGAGGGAATATGGATGGACACCGTGGTCTGATGCCGTGAGGAGGGTTGGGAGGTAGAGTAAGAGAGAGAGGGGAGGAGGATTGAAGACAGGATCGATGCTTGGACGTTTTCCCTCCGCAGGCCAGAGGTCGGGACTGGCTAGGAGCAGAGCAGTTGCATATACGGCACAGACGCACGCAAACATTGGGATGAATTGCCACATGTCGGCCTTGGATTGAATAGTACCTGTGTATCATCCGTACGATGGTGCATGGATAGCTCCAAGCTGTGAATCCGGATTGGTGCTCTCCAGTCGACGGCAATACCACCACCCACCAGTCCACCATCCACTGTCCATTACATATACCTACATGTATACCATACACACGTACTCACTCGGTACGCACAGAGTACGGTGCAGTAGTGATGTATGGCTGTGTAGTCTGTAACCTGTACAGATTACTCGTATTACCGTATTCGTCCGGTACGGGAATGTATCAGCTCGACGCCCAAGGTCGCTGCGCATGCATGTATTGCTGGTATAGATATATATGTGTACATGTATATATATGTATATACATATACATTCATATCAATACTCCGTACATACATACACATATCTCTATACAATCATCTGCACAGTTCCAATGCTTACTCATCTTACTGCCGAGGCCAGAGACGTCGTGCGTGATACTGAAAAAGTATCGATACCTGTAATGGTTCGTGGCATGCCTCCAGCTGTACCCATAATTGCAGAGAAAGGCCTCCCCCCTCCTGTAAGTCCTTTCCATTCTCCCTAGCGTCCCCTGTAATCCCTGTGCTCCCCCCCCCCGGTCACTCGTGGCCCCCGCCGCGGCCAATAGTGTCCACTTGGCCATGCAACGATCCCAGTCGTGGGAAATTGCCAACTCTACTGGTAAAGAGGTCCTCACCCTATACTCGTACGAGTTGCCGCTACACGCTACACGTATTACTCCGTAGATACAGGTAATAATACTCGTGAACTCGTACTCGTGATGATGACGATGATGATGATGGTACTCTTAGGTCTGTCCTCCAAAGCCCCGGCTGACCCATGGCTCATCGGGATTGTCTCCCATCTATCGTATTACATACATATACATCCGTTACATGTACGGATACTCCATACGACGCCGATATGCTCGTACATATACATGTATGCATGCAGGTACGTTGCGGAGAGAGTTGGTCCTCTGCATAACAGCCACAGTACAGGTTACACATAGCTAGGTAATAATACCACTACAAGATACGACTCATAGTCGTACTCGTAACAGTCAATACCATTACTCCGTTCTACCAACTGATACTACGAGTATCAATAGGTCATATTAGATACGCGACTCGGATAGCTCTCTCTACTCGTAATCTGCACATGTGGTTGAAGCCTCGTCAACTGCCCATCCACACCCTCCCCCAACTTCCCTCCCCCTCTCCCCCCCCCCCCCCCCCCCAAGCTACCGACCAGTCCATCTCGATGTCATTCTCAGGTATTTTGATGTCTCGACCTCCGTCTGGGTCTGTTATACGACATTTCGGCAGATACGCCGCAAGACTTCTCCTGATAAGGTAGAGAGAGAGTTGAGACTTATGCACGTGCGAGACGAGACACTGTCGGTTGCAGCTCAGCATTCCCAACTCTGCACTCCTCTCCGCCCATGTTTCCGTGAAACCCAACACTATGGGCAATGATAACCCGTACTCCTCGGCATCATCGCACGGGTGCGAGTGATGATAGATATATCGCAGGACGCTATAGTATGACGGAGAACCCGTAGGACTATCACATCGTATGCGCTCGTAGCTGACGACAATTTCCCCGTCCGACAACAAGACCACACTATATCGCGTCGCCCATGTTGACTAGGTCAATATACGGGGTGCATTAATTTACCTCGTACAAAACACAGTACAGACTAATCTGTAATCTGTACAGTGTTATATATATATATCATGTATGCATAATGCATTACCTGTAGCGCAGCCATCATCCTCCTTGTCTTGTTTCTCTTTAGTTTTTGGTTCTGGGTTCTTGACTCTTGTTTTTTTTTTATCCCCCCTCCGTCTCCCGAGGCCTTCTCTCCGATTCTCCCCACCTACATGTGTTGGCCGTACGCGTGCCTCATTGCTCTCTCTCATCGGAACCTGCACGCGACTCATCAGAGGTACGTACCACCCCGGTTTGTCGAACCTCTCGGTCCGTTTCACCATGTCCATAGTCGTCAGTAGCCTATTACGACCGTAGCATTCGTACTAGGTACCGGTAATCTGTAGACCAGACAGGAAAGGAAAGAGAGAGATAGTGAGAGAGATAGAGAAGAGTGCGAATCTTGGTCTCTCTCCCTCTCTCCCTCTCTCTCTCTCTTCCCTCTCCAGTCCCGCCCCCTCCGCCCTCCGACTTGCATGTTTCAGCTATTTCCTGTCCAAGCTCTGTCTCAGCCGTCTTTTTTTTCTTATTCCTTTTGTCTTCTTCTTTTTTTTTTCGTCACCAACAAACCTTCCCCCCTCCCCCCATCCCTTACTGATGATACGCTGTTCCGAGTGTCGACATGTCTTTGGTGATTGACAAAAACACGAACGGAAAGGGGGGGGAGGGGAAGAATCCGAAGGAGAGGTCTCTGGATCTCTGATAGACAAAGTCCTGAAAAGACGGTAAGTCGGCCGTGGCATGGAGACAATGGCTAAAGCCTTCGGCCCATGCTCTCTCCCGCTATTATACGAAATGGATCAATGACGAAGCAGACGATGCAAGGGACGTTGCCTACGAAGTTCCGGCAGAAGGCCACCCACCCACCACCATACGACGTAATACAGTACGATCATGATGGGCTTACAGATTATCTCTCTCTCTCTCTCTCTGTGTGTGTGTGTGTGTACGCGTGTGTGTACGCGTTATTGACACCTGGTATCGGTACATGTACCGTTACGAGTACTCGTTCGTCGTATGTAGATTGAGTATCAATACTCTTCCCTCTTGACAATCCGCCGATCACAGCCCACCCCATCCCCCATCGCTCGGACCCTGCCTGGTACGATTTCCCGCTGTGTCTCCCGCACGCGCCATTTATTTTATCTGGGCTTTTTTTTTTGTTCCCCTCTCTTCCTTTTTTTTGCCCTTCTCTCTCTCCCTCCCTCTCTCTCTCTCTCTATTCCAGCCCTCCCAGTTATCCCGTCCTCGGCCGGCAAGTTTCCCCTTTATGCACCTTTCCCTCGTTCCAGTCGTGGCTGTGAGCTTGACTCTGTTCGTACGGCACAGATGGATGGAGCAATCACTCGGTCTCGAATCATCTCCCAGAGCGATCGAAACGACGGTGGCTGGCTTTTCTCGAGTCGTCATGAACCCTTCCGGGAAATAAGACGGAATAGAATAGAATGCGACGTGCTGCTTCCTGGCAGGAAAAGGCACAGCCTATTCTATTCTATCCTGCTCAGCAAAGCAATGTTCTTACTCGTACGGAGTAATGCAGGTAATGCATACAGTAATCGATACCCTCTACAGGTTACTCGGCAGGGAGGAGAGGAAGATGCCGTCGCCGACGACAACCCCTGGTCGAGTGTCATCAAACATAGTCCCTAGTACTCCGTAGTAGCACCACGCTTTCTCTTCCTCTCCCCTCTACTCGTTCTACTCGTGCATGCATGTGGACGAACATTATTACTCCGTACCTGCATAGGCTACTAATGACGAGATTATTGCTTCTCACCCCTGTTCTACCTAGTTTGCCTTTCCTCCACACCAAAAAAAAAAAACTAAAAACTAAAAAAAAAAAAAACTCCGCCAACATGGTACCCGCCCCCTTTTTTTCTTTTTTCTTTTCTTTTCTTCCCCCCCCTTCATCTTACTCATTGCCACCGAGCTGGTAATAGTGCTGCTATTACTTCTTACTATTACGGAGTAATACTACTACGAATAATGCTTGTACTTATTGCTGCGAGAGAAGGTACGAATGGCCGTTAGCTTTACAAGAGCACGAGTACAGGTTATATACCATTCTGATGATGATACTACATGTATGAGGCCCCCCCCCCCCGTAATGACGCACACGGACAACCCGTCTCAGAGTGGTCAGCGCCGCTCCTGGCAGCTCATTGCCCGATGGGGAAGTTTCCCACCCATGTCTCCCATGTCTCTCTCTACGGAGAACACATCTCAAGGGTCGAGTACAGATATCATTGGAAGCTTTTGCTTCTTCCTTGTCGCATAGATGAAACGAGACATGTGCCGTAGTCGTCCTCATCTTCCTTTATGTCTTTGGCACGATAAGTGCATGTAAGAGTGTGTCCGGGCTTTTTTCTTTCTTTTTTTTTGGGGGGAAGGGGGAGGGACACAAGGAGACATGAATGTACCATCACGATTCACGACTGTACTCCGCACTCCGTACTCGTAGTGGGACACCCTCTATCAGCGGCATAATCCGCAATGCTAGATAGTCCTAGTATTATTACCTTGGGGATATCCGACACGTCTATTCGATATCACATTACGTGCGTCTCGGTTCAGAGCCACAGATAGTCGATAAACTGCTTGGGCAGTCAATCATCTGGGGTGGACTGTATCGCCTGTATACGTACATGTACGGGAGAACCGTTCGAGAGGACGTGCATATATATTACCGTGTCATGCAGCGATGGAGACCACATACCATCATGATCGGGCATACCCACCGTGCTTACCGGTGCTGGTGCTGCGCCATGTGCTGCTATAGGGTATAGCAGCGCCTCACCATATTCCAGGTTCCTGTAGTAGTACTCAGCCTGTCAATAGGTGTTGATGTCGCCGTTGCGCCCTGGGAATAATGAGAGGATCGATGAAACGAGCATGATGACTCGAGTTTTTAGAGTACACACACGCACACACACACATATATATATAGATGTATATAGATATAAAGCCACCCTAGTAGTATGCTGACCCTACAAGAGCGGAAAAAACCCTCGCGATGTGCCACCCTAGACATTCAGCTTAGCCGTGGCGGAGCTCTTGATGTACTCCTCGTACGGCGCGAGGGCCTTCTCGACGGCACCGCCGGGACCGCAGTACTTGTCGACGATCTGGCTGCTGCGGCCCGTGTACAGCTCGGCCTTGAGCATGCCGTCCAGCTCGCCCCAGATGGGCTTGAAGAAGTCGTTGGCGCGGATCTTGTCTACTAGCGGGTTCGGCTTGCCCTCCTGCTTGACTACGGCGCCGGCCTCGTGGCTCAGGACGCGGATCTGCTCGTGCGCCTCCTGCCGAGAGACGCCCTTGGCGCACAGCCTCATGATGATCTCCTCGGTGATCATGAAAGGGAGCTGGACGTAGGTTCAGTATTCTCCTTCTCCTCTTTTTTTAATTTTTTTTTTTACTCTCTGCTCTGCAGGGAAAGAAGGGTACGATGAGAAGGAGGGAGGGAGGAAGGGAGGGAGCTTACCTCGGCGGCAACGCGGCTGGCAACGACGGCTACAGAAAAAAAAAAAAGTCAGTTCATCACTCCCCGGGCTTGAAAACATTCCAAGGCACGGATTCAGGAGAGCATGTACCGGGATAGACGACGAGACCGTCGCTGATATTGTCCTGTGTATCCGTTAGACGTCGCCTCGCTTCGTATGCGTCTGCTTCCAGGGTATCAACTCACAAGACCGATGCAGATGGCGTCGGCCAGAAGGAACATCTCAGGGATGTCAATGCCTGTGACCATCAGTATCGAGGGATCCCAGTTGGGGGGAGTTGTGGTGGTAGAGAAACAAGGTCCTTACGACGGATGGCCGAGTCATCGAGCGTACGCTCAGCCCACTGGTCGCTGTGGGTGGCAGCGAAAGAAGCCGGCTTCTCCGAGTTAGTTTTCCCCTTCCCTCTTCTTTCAAGCACCACGTAAATCAGCAGATGAACTGCTCACCTTGCTCATCAGTTCGCGGGCCAGACTGTACACGCGCTCAGAGCGCATCTTGAGGGGGACGGGTTAGCAACCTGAACACCACCGAGAGCGCTCCATGATTTGCAGCGGAGGGGGGAGGCCATCCTCACAGGGTTCCTCTTGTAGGCCATGGCACTGCTGCCGATCTGCGAGGACTCAAAGGGCTCCTCGATCTCCTTCCAGTGCATCAGGTGGCGGATGTCGCCGGTGATCTTCTGGGCGGTGGAGCCGAGGCCGGCCACGGCGTTGGCGATGATGAGGTCGACCTTGCGGGTGTAGGTCTGGGTGGAGACCTCGTAGCAGGAGGGGAAGCCGAACTTGGCGCACAGGAGGTCGTTGAGCCGATCGCACTTGGCCGCGTCACCCTCGAAGATGGAGAGGAAGCTGGCCTGGGTGCCCGTGGTGCCCTGGGCGCCGCGGAACTTGAGCTCGCGGCTGACCTGCTCGATGGCGTGGAGGTCGAGCATCAGGTCCAGCACCCACTGCGCTGCCCTCTTGCCCACGGTGATGAGCTGCGCCGCCTGCAGGTGCGTGTAGGCCAGCGTCGGCTCGGCCTTCCACTTGACCGCGAACGCGGACAGGTTGTGGATCACCTTGGCGATCTTCTTGGCGATCAGGTCCATGGCCTCGCGCACCAGGATGAGCTCCGTGTTGTCCGTCACGAAGCAGCTGGTCGCTCCCAGGTGGAGGATGCCCGACGCGGCGGGGGCCACGGCCCCAAAGGCGTGGACGTGCTGCATACACGGCGTTTAGCGGCGTTCATACTGGTATACATGTCTGGTCATGAGCCAACGGGGGCATTCTTACTGCCATGACGTCCTAAATCGATGAGCGGTGTGGTCAGCAAAAGGTATGGGTCGCACGTGCTGGGGCGTAGATGAGAGTCGCCCTATCCGCGGGTGGTAGGTATGTGATGCCGCCTCCCTCCTCCTCCTCTCTCGTGCCGTTCTCTCCGAAAGCTTGGGAGCTAGCTCTTCGGCTAGAGCAGAGAAAGGAGGGAGATATGGTGTTGATAGTACAGTAGTGGTCAGGTGAACTCCCGATGCAGATGGGGCAGACTCGTGGATGAAACGGTGGCAGAGCGACTGGCTTACATGTCGACGGCTCTTCTCCTCAATGCGGGCAACCTCAAAGTCGTCATCGGTGACGGTCAGGTGAGCCCTCATCTGGTCCAGAGCCTCATCGGTGATGGTGTCGACACCGAGCTCCTTCTCACTCTCGGCCAGGGCGAGCCAGAGTTTCCTCCAGGTCGAGTGACGAGATCGCTGGCTGAAGAGCTTGGACATGGCGGGGCTGCAGTAGCGAGTGGTGAGGGACGTCTGGTAAGAGTCGAACGCCGAGCTGGCGGTCGACGATGATGAGTTGGCCATGCTTGACGGGAAGGGGGCGAAGATCTGCTTGTGTTGTCGTCGTCGTCGTCGACTTCCGATCGATGCAAGAACAGAGAGAGGGTGATCGTCTACTGAAAGGTTCACTGTCGTCGAAATTTTTTTTTTGTTGGTCTTCCCTCTTTTCCCCATTCATTACTGTTGGTAAATGCTGGCATAAGTGGGGTGAGATTGTTAGCTTTATGGCGGGGTCAACTTGAGCATAAGCCACACCAAGAACGATGGCGATTGCCGAAATTTCATTGAACAGATATCTGACTATGACTACTTGGCCGGTAGGTTTGTACCCTTTTATTTATCCATTTGTTTTATTCTAGATACCATGTATTTCATCCTGTGAGTCTACTGTCGATATGAGCGTGGAACCAGGCTCTCATGACTCTGGGGCAGACCCTTATATCACTACTCCTCTACCCCTCTTCCAGTACGACAATGGATGCCATGATTCGATTACATAAAATCGACCAGATCTCCTCAGCTCTCTCAGTACACACTGAAGCCCCCACTGGCAGAGATAGCCTGCCCGGTGATCCATCTGCTCTCTTCGGACGCCAGCCAAGCCACGACCTGCGCGACGTCGTCAGCCTCACCCGCCCTAGCCTGCATGAGCGTCGCCTTCTTCATCGTGTCCACCAGGTCCTGCGGCATCCGATCCATCATCTCGCTCTTCACGGGGCCCGGGTTGACTGCGTTGACCGTGTGGCCGTGCGCCCCCATCTCGGCGGCCAAGCAGCGCGTCAGGCCCTCCAGCGCAGCCTTGGACGAGCTGTAGATCGACAAGTTGGCCAGCGCCAACCTCGCCCCGACAGAGGAGATGTTGATGATGCGGCCCCCGCCCCGAGACGGGAGGTGGGGCTTGACGGCCTGGGCCAGGAGCAGGGGCGCGCGCACATTGACGGCGTACACGCTGTCAAAGTCCTCGGGCTTCATGTCGTCCAACGACTTGACCACCTCCACCCCTGCGTTGTTGACGACGATGTCGATCTGGGGGCCCAGGGCGTCGACAGCCTGACGGACGATGGACGCCGGCGTCGACGCGTCAGCCAGGTCGCCCCGGACTGTGATGCATCGGATCGGCGGGTCGAGCTTGGCGATCTGGCCAGCTAGCTCCTTGACTTTGGACTCGCTGCTGGCCGAGGTGTATGTCGCGACGATCTGCTGCTGTTAGTACTGTCTCGACGTGGTCTTTTTCCCTGCTCTCCTCCTTCTCCTGTCGATGTTTTGTCTTGGGACTGTAGGGACAGATGTGTCACGCGTATGATGTGAAGCGTACCTTGGCTCCCCGTCGAGCAAGTTCGAGGGCTAACCCGTAGCCTAGGCCGCGAGATGCGCCCGTGACGATGGCTACTTTCCCCTTGAGCGTCTGAATGTCGGTCTTTTCCCCCATGACGAATATGGTCATGTATGTGATATGGTCATGTATATGTGTATGTTGTGCTTGCTGTGTATGTGTATACAGGACAGGACAGGGGAGGCATGCAGAGAACAGGCAGAGGCCAGCCCTTTTTATGTCTTCCACACTCAACGATGCAAGGGATTAGAAATCCAGTGTTTAGTAATTCGTTCCCGGCTTAACGCCGACGGATCGATCATATCGACGTGCTGTCTCTGCGATAGGCTTGATTCTTGAACAGTTCGGGGACGATGCAGTACCCATCGACTGGCTTCCCGTCCCTCTATTCCATACAACACCTGTCATTGTTCCGACTGACCTGGGAGTATTTTGACAGGTCATTTATCAGTTCAAGACTCCCACAAGGTATGTCATGGTCGGTCTCGGATTCGCTACCCCGGACGGGGATATGCTTCGGTGTGAATGATGAAAATTTTCTTCTATATGCAGCCAGGCTTTTATTCTATGTGATGTCTATATATATATGTGTGTGTGTGTGTGTGTGCGTGTGTATGTGCGTGTATCAATAACAAAAGATCAATGACATCACAGCTCCCCAAGAACAAGCTGCCAAGCTACTCGCCCTATAAGAGCACCATGGTGCTCAGTACTGGCCCTCTGGACGCCGGACTCGTACAGCTCGTCAGAGAAGATCTTCTGGCCGTGACGCGCCTCGAGGATGGTGTTCATTATAAACTGGCTGAATTCAGGGTGTCCCTGGACCGAGAGGACACGACCGGGGATGAGCATGCCCTGAATGGAGCACACGGGGCTGTCGCCCAGGTTCTCTGCCTTCTCGGGGAGGGTGGAGACGATGTCCTGATGCATCTGGTGGATGGACTAATTTTTTTTATTAATTGTCAGTCCTGATGGATCTTTCCTTTCTAGATGAGAAAGAAGAAGAGGGAGAGAGGGAGAGAGAGGGGGAGAGAGGG